TAGACTTGATGTGGTCTGGGTCTACCTGTTCCGTGCGGTCGAACAGATGGCAGAGGTTCTCGCGCATGGCTGGGTCGATCGGCTTGTCACCGGGGATGGTTCCGATGGCGACGTTCGGGACGATGTCCAGTTTCGAGACATCCTCGACGATGCGGATGTTGTAGCTGGTGGGGAAGGTAGACACCATGCTCTCCAGCTTAGAGGCAGAGCGGCCGAAGATGTAGATGGGGGAGTAGCCCATCTGGTGTAGAGCGTAGATGGCAGCGCGAGCGGTACCGCCACCGCCAACAACAGCGGCACTCGCGTCTCCGGCGGTATTGCCGACACCAGCATTGCGGAGGGACAGTTGCATGCCCTGCCAGTCGGTGTTGTAACCAACCAGGCGAGCGGGCTTGTCTTCGCCGTTGGAGACAGGGACGATGGTGTTCACAGCGCCGATAATCTCGGCTGCTTCGGCGACCTCGTCAAGCAGCGGCATGATATCCAGCTTCAAGGGGATAGTGACCGATGCACCTCCAAAGTCTGGCGACCGGATGAAGTCCTTGACGTCTTCGACGTTCGTAGTCTCCAACCGGCCGTACTCGTGTGGAAGTCCCATGTAGTCGAAGAGCGTGTTGTGGAGGATTGGCGAGCGAGAAGCGGAAACGGGGCTTCCGAACACAGCGAATTTCTTCGCCTTGATCTCGCCCATCAGCGACAGACCCCGACGGATCTCAGTTGCGGAGAGTTGACCCGGAGCAGCCTTGAAGGGAAGAGCAGGGTGAGACACGGGAGTCATGAAGCCGTTGAGGATGCGGCTCAGCTGGCCGTTGTCGCCCATGTTGATTGCGATCAATGGCACGTCGTGAGCCTCCTCGGCCCATGTCTTGAACTTCCGGAGGGATGTGTTGTCGTCAAGGTTCTTGGCCACACCAACCAGCTTGATCACATCGCCGTACTCCAGCGCCTGGTTGTAGAACTTCATCCAGGACATGTTGGCCCACGAGAGCTCTCCCTTGGGGTCGTGGTGCGAGGCGATGATCTTAGAGTGACCCTTCATCTCGGTGACAGCACGGAGCATCTCGTCGGGGAAGGCAATTTCAAGATCCACAAACTCACTGCCAGATCTGAGAGCAAGCTTGTACAACTGCATTGCGGCGTCGTGAGCATCGTCGGGGAAGCGACCGCCCTGGCTTTGTGTCCGGATGGTGAAAATCAAAGGAAGGGAGATGCGACTACGGAGGAAGGACACTTGCTCTGAGACATAGTCAACGGAAGGAATGTCGCTGTCTGACGAAGGGTCCTTCAACAGATCAACTCGCAACTCCACCGCATCGGACCCGATGCTAACTTGGCTCAGAATATCACCCGAAGGACGCAAGTCGGGCAAGGTTAGAGAAACGAAGAAAGACTCCTTCTTTTTCTTCATGACACTGAGGTTGTCCTGCTGACCAGTAACGACGTGCAAGAAACGCTTGAAATCCTCAGATGGCAGAGCAAGGGCACCCGAGCCCGAGTGTTGGCTGTAGTACTGGATATTACTGCATTCCTGGAACCAAGGCTTCCGACGCAGCCACACACCCATCATGTCCTCAACGTAGGCTGGGCGGGTCTGGTCGATCGACAGGAAGTCCATAACCTGTTTGATATCGCGCATAACCAGTAGGACATTTCCTTTGTCCTTGTGGTAGTCGATGAGCAGCTTACGGGCCTCAGGAATCTCGACGACGCCTCCACCACATGCGAATACGTAGCCGGTTGCGCGTTCCTTCATCATTCTCTGCAAAATATTGAGCTCAGCATCCCGGAATCCTTGCCAGCCGCGCTGCTTGATAATGTCAGGAATCGTGATGCCCTCGGAGCTTTCAAGCTCGGTGTCAAGATCGACAAAAGGACGGTTTAGTGTCTGAGCAATCCAATGTCCAGTAGTGGTCTTTCCAGCCCCGCGCATACCAACAATGAAGACCGAAGCACTCGCCTTCTCAGCACGAGTAAGAGCCGGTGATTCGACTTCCGTCAACTCCTTGCCTTCAAGTTTGACTGCGAACAATTGTCTCAAGGTATCCCACCAACCGGGCCAGGTCTTGCCAACACATTCTCTCTCCAAGATAAGAGTCGACTGAGGGGCCACGAGGGACAGAACGCTGAAGCTGAAAGCAACCCGGTGGTCATCGTAGCAGAAAATACCGCCAGCAGGCTGACGGAGGGTGGAACGGTCAACGCCGTCAATCTCAAGTCCGTCATCGTGTTCCCGGCAGACGACTCCGAATTTGGCGAGCTCATCCTTCATAGCCTGGATTCGGTTGCATTCCTTCACACGCTGGTTTGCAATTCCGTAAATACGAGTGGTGTGGTTCGAGTTGTCACCTTGTGCAACTGCTGCGAGGACAGATGCAGTAAGGAAGGCATCGGTCATTGGCTCCATGTCCACGTTGGGCAGAGGCTTCAAGGCACCGCCGGGCACACCGGTGACGGTAGTTGAAGCCTCAGTCTGTTCAACGGTACAGCCCATTGGACGCAAGACATCAACGGCAAAGCGGGCATCGCCCTGCAGAGACTTGGAACCGATGTTGGGGACGGTGCAGGTCGTTCCGGTAATCGCGGCAATGGACAAGGGGTAGGTGGCGGAACTGGCGTCGCTTTCCACAACGTATTCAGCAGGGTTGACATAGCGGCCCTGAGGAATGTGGTAGGTGTGCTCCTCCGTCGTAGACCTTTGTACATCGATACCAAACGACCTCATCATTGCGGTCGTCATGTCGATGTACGGCTGGGAGATGGGTTTACCGCCGACAAGCCTCAGGGTCACTGGCTCCTTGGCGTACGGCGCACACATAAGCAACGAGGAAACGTATTGAGAGGAAACCTTGGCAGCCAGGTTGATAGAGCCACCAGCAAATCCACCAGAAGCGGCAATCTTCAGAGGAAGACTGCCCTTCTTCTCCTGGTACTCAATCTCAGCACCGTTTGCTGTAAGAGCGTCGACAAGGTCGCCAATGGGCCGTTGCTTCATGCGGTTGTTGCCAGTAAGGATGCTCGAATCCGTACTGCTTGCATTGGCAAGGGTTGCGACGGAGGTAAGGAATCTTGAAGCCGTACCGGCATTGCCAAGGTAGAGCGGCGATGGGGTGGCTTCGAGGTTTCCTCCCTTGCCGTTCACTACAAGAACTTCGCCTTCGTCCTCCCAGGAGAAAGTAGCGGCACCAAGACGCTCGAGGGCGTTCAGCATAACTTCGGTGTCGTCAGAGTGCAGAAGGTTCTTGACACGGCAAGTGCCGGAGGCAAGAGCGGCGAGAACGAGAGCTCTGTTTGAGATACTCTTTGACCCCGGGGGTGCGCAGGTGACATTGAGTGCGGGTGCGACGCCCGGCTGTACTTCGACACTGGGAGCAAGGACAACGCCAATTTCTTCGTTCGACACGACGCTAGCTTGGGGTTCGTGAGTTCGACCGATAGCCGACAGCAAGACTACCTTCTTCTTGGGGCCATCGTTCTTTTTGTCGAGGGCCATGTTGAATAGCAGCTGCTCAACAGAGCAGTGCTTGCCAGCAGTCACCTTCCTAATCCGTGCGTCCTTCAGAGATGTAGGCAAGCCGTAAGCGGCAATGCACTTGACGACACGAGCCACAGCAACTCCCTTCAAAACACCGACATGCCTAGCAAGTTCAGCTTCCTTGACCATACCAATTGCGACACATTCGCCATGGAGAACCTGAGGGGTGAGGATTGCCTCAATGGCATGACCAATGGAGTGGCCCAAGTTCAGCAGGTTCCGAAGACCACCCTCGCGCTCGTCCGCGGAAACGACGTAAGCCTTGTGACGGGCAGATGCCAAGATTCTTGCCTTGATGATATCCTGAATGCCTTCGAATCGCGACTGGCCCGGCTTCACCTCACTGCGGACAGCGTTCAAGATCACCTCTGCGTTGTTCTCCAAGGCCGTGAATTCCTCCTCGCTCGAGATGGCCGCAGTCTTGATCACCTCCGCCATTCCGTTGATGAACTCTCTCACAGGAAGCGTCTCGAGGAATTCCAGGTCAATGTAGATCCTGGAAGGCTGCCAGATCGAACCAATCAGGTTCTTGCCCAGGGGCGTATCAATCGCAGTCTTCCCTCCAATCGACGAGTCGACCATAGCGAGAAGCGTCGTAGGAACCTGAACATAGCGGACACCACGCATATAAGTCGCAGCCACGAATCCAGTCAAGTCTCCAATGACACCTCCTCCCAATGCGATAACAACAGTGTCTCTACCACATGGTGGGCTCTGACTCAACATCCAATCTTCAATATCCGCTTTTGTCTGTCGAGACTTCGAAACTTCACCCGGAGGAGCATAGTACACCAGGAGACGAGGGGGCGGAGAAATACCAGCGGCCGCTTCTTCGAAGGACTTCTGGAAACCGGGAGTGTAGATGGATCCGATATTCGTGTCGGTGACAAGGACGTAGGTCGTGGAGGGGCATCCACTGATCAGGTCCTTGGCGACATAATTGCGCCAGATTCCGAAATCAGAGATGATGCTCTCCTTACCGAGAATGCTAATTTTGGTCGGTTCGCTCATTGCGGAAGACGTAGAGGGGTGGTGAGGGATAGTCGCAACGATGGAGGGGCACGATAGGTAGAAAAGAGGACTCTGCGTGAAATGGTATCGCTATTCTAGTTCATTCTGCGGCTTGCACAGTTCCGTTTGTCGTCAATGGCGTCTGCTGCAACTGATCTCACCTGCAGACAAAGAAACAGGCGATCAGACAAGAATGGAATGCGCGGGGGAGGGGCCTGAAAGATAACTTTATATGTTAGCTGAGTAATTGGCGGTGATTGTGTGGTTGGGAGAAGTCTGACTCAAAAGCAAGCTGAGAGAAGGACTCAATTGACCCAATGCGCTTCCCCAGCGACGACGTGAGCTGAAAATGAGGCTTTTCGACTTCTCTCTTCGTGGTGACTCAAAACTGCCCGCTCCGATGTCGTCCTTCGGCAAATGGTCGGCCCGCCACGGCACGTGAACGGCACGTGTTCTACTTTACAATAGAAAGAGAATGAGACTATATGTAGATGCCAGATTCAGATTCATTTCCATAAGATTACATGCATAAACAAGAAACTAAACAGCTATCCCAAGGATGGCCCTCTTTTCTTTCAGTAAGGAATAAACCGCCTAACTCCGTTCCGTACCCATACCCGGTTTTGATACCGATCTTTGGAAAGGCTTCGTTGATGGAAGAGATCCTCAATAGCGACCATAACCACCACCACCGGAGCCCCTAGAAGAATAGTGATCGCGTCCACCGCGGGGCGGTCCACGATATCCTCCTCTGTCTCCTCGGTAACCTCCGCCTCCTCTGTAGTAGTCGCCACCGCCGTAGCCAGACTGTCTTCCGTTCTGGCCATAACTATTTCCATATCCCTGGTTTTGTCTGCCGTAATGGTCATGTTGGCCGTACCCCTGCTGTGGGTAACCTTGCTGAGGTGCTCCGCCGTAAGGCGGGTAGTAAGAGTTGGATCCTCCACGGGGAGGCGGAGGCGGTCCTCTAGAAAAGTTCCCTGCACCAGGAACGGGGGGGGCCCAGCCCGAGGGCGCCGGCATGGATGACATTCCAGCGGATGGGGGTACAAAGCTGGGGTCAAGATGCGCCGCAAATGGGTTTGGACGGTGGGACGACCCGTAATCCATACGACCGCCCCGACCGCCGCCGCCGCGGAATGGCGCGCCGCCAAACGAACGGCCTGAGTGTTGCGCCCTGGACTTGACAGCATGGATGTCCCCATTGTCCAGCGCCGGTGGTGGGAACTTAACGCCCCGGAGGAGCATCGACTTGTGGATGTGCGTCGACTTTGGAATTTCAAAGTTGACCCTATAGCAAGAAGTTAGACAGGTTTCTGGTTCGGAGAAAAATGTTGTTCAACTTACGTTAGAGACCGATCTTGGTCCAAACTCGGCATGCCGTACTGCTCCAAGTCCGAGACCAAAGCACTGTGTGGGATATAAGACCCATTGCGCTCGACCTTCCCAGCCAATCCCTCACTGGAACGCATGTTCAGCTTGAACTTTTCAGGGCCTGGCTTCTTCGAGTAGAAGTTCGCAACCAAGTCCTGGTACAAGGGATGACCATCCGACAACAGGAGAACATCATGACCCATGGTGTTCCGGATTTTCTCGTCCTCGGTTAGAAGGGGGTATTTCTTCTCCATGGCAGCGAGTAAACGATTTTCGTCAATAAATGGCAGTAGTACCACACCCTGCCAGGCAAACTTTTTGCCGTTCAAATCCACGGCAAAATCTTCTGGATAAAAGTCGATAATCTCACTGTTAGGGTCGCTCATGAGGTCGTGGAAGATTTTCGGGATAGCGTGGTTGGAGGACGCTGGGAGAACTCCCATCAATTGTTCAAACGGCTTAAAGGGCGTTCCCTTGTCAAACGATGTTTCCATGTCGGCGATGTCATCAAAGTCTGCTGCAAACGGCGCATAGTGGTAAGGGTAATACCAAGTCCAGGACGGGCAACCTTGGAAATAATACAGCAGTACCCAGGCCAGACCTTCCGCATATGCTCTAGCGACTTTGCGACGGAATGCCTTGTCTTCAGGGTCGACATCGAACTTTTGCTCGTAGTAGCGATCAGCATAACCCGGCTCCCATAGTCGGACAGTATCGGGTGGTAGTCCATCATCCTTGGGCTCAGCGGGTTTGCTCGGGGTCTCTGCTCCTGCCCCTTGTTCTGCCTCAGCAGCCTTCCTCTTCCCGAGGACCGATGGAGATGTCGGCTCCGCGCCATTGGAAGTTTCTTCTGGTGTAGCCTCTTCGGGAGTTTCGGCTGGGCTTTCTTGCGAACCGCCCATGAGCTTGCTTTTGAGGACTGCTGCGGCGCTCTTGTTGGCCATATTGGCCTTGTATACAGCGCCGCGATTGACCACCATGTTGTGTGTTAGTTCTCTCGCCTCCCTTGTCAGCTCTCCTCGCGCAGGGGTAATGAGTTCCAGGCCATTCGGAGGTGCCGCATCTGCACCCCCTCGAGACCGGTTGGCGCTTGAAGAATCGTAACTAGGTGAGCTCCTCCTCTTTTTCCTCGAACGCTCCTCAGCCTCTTGTTTCCGCCTCTTTTCGTTTGCAGCCTTTCGCTCGTCAGCCTGTCGGCGACGGCGGAAGATGGCGTCTTCCTGTTTTGCGAGACCTTGCATGATGAGCTGCGCCTTTCTAAAATCAACGTGACCATCTTGAGTCAGATAGCCGCCCATGGCGGGGATGTTATCGCGCCAGATTGCGATGAGCGTGTCGATTCCATTCTCGCGAATGTCTAGTGATGGGAGATGCGGAAGGAAATCGTTTCCAACGAAGAAACACATGAAAACCCAGTCGTCTAATGCTCGTTCAAGGTCAAAGGGGAAGGGCTGTTGAGGGACATACAGCTCCGCAGCAAGGTATTCCCGAAGAATAGAGACATTGAGCCAGATGAATGGCTTGAGTGAATTACCCTTTTGTTTCTCGTCAAATTCGCCGTTCTTCTCCTTTGCTTGACCTCTGCACTCTTCGGCTTTGTGGCCCGGCTGACCACAAAGGTGGCAGGTCCTTGGCTTTGACTCTTGGAAGAAAACATCCTCACGCAAAACCCGAAAATGAGGTTCGTGGGTAGCAAGGCCCAACATGATCAAGTCCGCGTCCTAATAAAATACGAAATCAGTACCTGCCCCAATTGAACGACTACCGACCATTGTCAAACTTACCAGACCATATATAACGTGGCGAGTGTTGGGGTCATGTTCGGGAGCCGAACGTTGAGATCGAACAAATTCCATAATCTTGTGCTCTCCTTCTCCTGGCACAGTAGCATCGGAAATGATGATTTTGAGCTGATAAGGTCAGTGCTGCATTTGTATTTGTAGGAATCGGGAATACACACCTTCTCCCAAGCTGGATCCGTGTTCAACTTGTAGGCAATCCAGTAGCGCAGAGCCGCAGCGAGGATATCCATGAACGGGGTACCGGGCGTAATGACATTACTATCCCAGGTCTTTTTAATGACTTCTTCCTCAAGCGCATGGTCACCCTTGCTGGCGTTCTGCTTCGCGAGCAATTTCTGGAACTCCTGCTTCTTCTCGTCTGCCTCTTTGGCCTCCTGCGCGGAACGGAATCGACGAGCACGCTGCTGGTTCATCTTTGCACGGGGAGCGACACCATCTATTTAAGAAGCCAATTAGTCCGATATATCAAACAATGTTTTTTTGGCGAGCAATAACATACCGACAGCAATCATCAGAACCTTCCTTGGGCGAACCATGTTCACCACCCGATCAGTGTACTTGAAAATCTCCAACATCATCTCCTGCTCGTTGGTCGGCGGCGGCTTTCCCTCTGGATGAGTACATGGATGGACGATACCATTCATATCCAGATATAAATTGTCCATTTCATCTCCATTAGGATTCGGGCCCGTCGTGTCCACCGGGATCTCTTCTCCGTGCACCTCATACGGGAGGTGTTCGATCACGGACGAGATGATCTTGGGGTACTTGTTGGAGAGCCATCTGAACAGCGCCGGAACACCCATGATGTCGATGCGAAAGAGGATTTAACGTTGAGAATTCAGACGAGAAATGCCATGGGTCGTTTCAATCGAATGTCTCCGTCCGCAGATTCCGATTCACCGCGTTGCGCCAGTCGCGTAGACCACAGAGAAACAGGGAACGTAAGGATATAAGAAAAGAAGGAATAAAATATGTGAAATCAGAAGAACACCGCGATGCAAAACACAGCGCACTCACACAAAGTATTGGAGTGAAGAGAGAGAGAGAGGTTGTTGAAGACTCTGCGATAAGATTTGGTGGTTTTCCGTGGCGGCTCCGGACGAGGAACTCTTGGCGTGGAGTTGAAGACAACAACAGTGTTAGCAGCCCACCAGCTCCAATACCCTCAACCTTTCACAATAACCACAGACAAAATCCCTTTACGGGTTCGATGACCATCAATTGCTACGCCCGCGGCCGGCGGTGACCATGAAAGTACGAGCTACCAGTTGCGATGTTCCGAATACTCGAATCGCAAGCGCCGGCCAAACAAACGGCAACGGACACGATCAACACATTGAGCAGTAGGCTCCAAAGCGTTACATTACTCGAGGACCGGCGAGCTGCGATACTGGGATTGAGGAGCTTTGCAAAGATCTACCCGGCTTCTGTTGCGTCGGAGTCGCTTCGACCTTTGATCAGCAGCCTCCGAAATGACCAAGAGGATGTGGACACGGTTAAAGTGATCTTGGAGACCTTATTGAACTTGTTTTCTCCAGATGAGAATAGCGTCTGTTACCGCAGTGGAGATATATGAGTGTTAAGCTTGGTACTGACTTGCTCCAGCCCGAAGCGTCGGATGAGATAGCCCTTTGGCTCGCCGATGAGTTTACTCAAGTACGTACCTACCAAGGATACAATTGGACATCCGTTTGGCTAACAGGATGAAAGCGACAAGATAACATTACGACACTTCTTGACCTCCTCGAAACGAACGATTTCTACTCCCGTCTATATTCCCTTCAGTTGATCTCCCTCATCTCGAGCGCACGACCCGAAAGAACTCAGGAATGTATATTCACCGCGCCACTGGGAATCCCGAGGCTAGTTAGCGCTCTGAATGATGTGCGCGAACCTGTTCGCAATGGTATGCTGGCTGCGACGCCCCTAGATACGTTTGTATACAGTTGCTAATGGATGTTTCTGCCTACAGAAGCCCTAGTTTTGCTTATCGCCTTAACGCCGTCCTCCGAAGAACTTCAGAAACTGGTCGCCTTCGAAAATGCCTTCGAAACAATCTTCTCCTTGATCGAAGCGGAAGGAGCTCTGACGCATGGTTCGGAAGTCGTAGAAGACTGTCTGGCCTTGTTAGCAAACCTCTTGAAGCTGAACATTTCGAATCAGTCGTATTTCCGGGAAACAGGCTGCGTGAAGAGGCTGGCAAAACTTCTTGCCGATGTCAACCAGGAACAAGATCCAGATGGACCATCTCCGTGGATCCTCGCTCATCGCGACAAGAATATCTGGGGCACATTAGCTATCATCCAATTATTCTTGACGAAGGGTGGAGTCAATACGCCTGCCAACCAGATGGTATTTTGGCATAATGGTGTTATGGAACAAGTGTTGAATTTGGCTTTCGGTCAGCGGTTTACCGTCAATATCACGTCCAAGGTTCGAAATATTTCATGTTTTATTCCCCATGATTGATACTGACTTCTCAAGGCATTGGCAACGTGTGCCGATTTGATCCGAGGAAACCCAGGTTTGCAAGAACAGTTCGGAGACGTCGAAGTTCTCTGGGGAAGTGAACCAACCAGCGAACGCAGTCCAAACGGCGAGGTCATGGTCAATGGCTTCCAGAGAATTAACGTAATTGAAGCTCTGCTCAAGTTAAGCCTCGAGCCTGCGTCGATTCAGCAGTTGGATGCGCGTCTTGCCGCTTGTGAATGTATAAAGGCTTTCTTTGCCAACCACAGTGGGATCCGACAGCACGTTCTGCGACGAGCAATCGATGGACACCTCAGCGGTCAAGATGAAATTCCTAACATCTTGTCTGTCCTGCTTACTCCACCAGAGTCCCGTGGCAACGCGGATCTATATCAGACTTGGATGGCTTCCGTTTTGATGTTCCATTTGATTTTCGAGGATCCTGAGGCTAAGTCAATTGCCATGAAAGTGACAGAGGGAGACGCCGAAAGTGGCGAAGAGGTTATCACTTGTGTACAGACTATTGTAAGCCACTTGATTACGGGCATGCAACGAGGCGATGACGAGAGAATATCTGTGGGATATCTGATGCTACTATGTGGCTGGCTTTTTGAAGACCCTGATGTGGTCAACGATTTCCTAGGCGAAGGTAGCAGCATCCAAACTCTGCTGCAGGAAACAAAGCTTCGTGGTGTCTCGAATGTCCTTGTGCCTGGCCTCTCTACTATTCTGCTGGGTATTATATACGAATTTTCCTCAAAGGACTCCCCGATTCCACGGGAAACGCTACATAAACTGTTAATGGAACAGATGGGAAGAGACCCGTATATCGACAAGATAACCAGATTCAGAGAATCACCGCTGGTCCGCGATTTCGAAGTCTTGCCACAAACTGTGGGAGCAACACAGCATGACGGAGGACTACCTGACATCTTCTTTGACCGGACCTTTATCGACTTCCTCAAAGATAACTTCAGCCGCTTGCTCCGCGCGATCGATCGTGAGCCTGGTCTGGAGATTTCTGTTATCTCAAACGGCGTCCAAAGAGGAATCTCACGAGAAATGGTCGACTCTCTGCGTTCTGAGTTGGAAGATCGGAACCAAGCAGTACAGAAGTTGGAAGCAGACCTACTCAGCCTCAAACAGAAGCTCGAGCAAGAACAATCTGAGCTTATGAAGGCGATGGATTCCAATTCAGTGGAGACTTCTCGGATCAAGCAAATAAACGAGGCACTACAGCGGAACCACGAGCAAGAACTACGGAGGCTGGAAGAACAACATAACCAGGCGAAGAACGGGCTCCTCAAGCAGCACGGTGAGCAGCTCCGGGCCCTGGACAGCCAGTTGAAAGAAACCTCCGCGGACCGCGAGAAGAGGGGCCAACAGTATGAAGCCGAGATCGCGGAACTGCAGGAGACCATCAATCTGCTTGAGTCGGACATTACAAGATCCAAAGAACAGCAGACTAGTGAATCGGCTCGTTTGCAAAAGATCATCCAGTCCCTGGAATCTGGTCTTTCGCAATCCCGGGAACAACAGGCCGGTGAAGTGGACCGGTTGCAGAAGACGATCCAGTCCTTGGGGGCTGATCTTTCCCAAGCCAGAGAACAGGCTGGTCAAGTTGCTAACTTACAAAAGACGATTCGGTCTCTGGAGTCCGACCTCGTTAGTGCCCAGGAGCAACATGCAGGCGAGGTTGCTGACTTGAGAGGTACCATCGAAAAACTGGAGTCTGACGCTGGCCAAGTCAAAGAGCAGCATGCTACTGGTCTCGCCGACAAGGACAAAGCAATCCAGGACCTTCAATCACACATGGAAGCACTCAAGAAGCAGCACGATAAGGGAGTCGCAGACCAGAAAGCTACGATCGACTCATTACAAACCAACCTTGACAAGGCCAAGGATAAATCTACGAATGATACCAAAGCCATCCACGACGAATATTCCACCAAACTGTCTGCACTAGAGAAGCGTGCTGAGGAAGCAGAGCGCAAGGCTGAGGAGACAGAAGCCAACGCGAAGAAGCAAGCTGAAGAAGCCTCACAGAAGAGCGAATCTGCAGACGCGGATGCAAAGAAGAACGCTAAAGAACTCAAGGACCTACGCGCAGAGCTTGACAAAGCAAAATCCCAGATAAAGAACGCAGAGAAGAAGGGAGGCTCAGCAAATGCCGATGCAAAGAAGGCCGCCAAAGAACTCGAGAACCTACGCACAGAGCTTAACAAGGCGAACACCCAGATAACGGAGGCAGAACAGAAGGGAGGCTCCGATGCAAAGAATACCGCCAAGGAACTCCGGGATCTACGGGCTGAGCTGGATAAGGCAAAGACCCAGATAAAGGAGGCCGAGCAGAAAGGAGGCACGGCCGACGCCGACGCTGAGAAGACTGCTAAGGAATTCGAGAGTCTACGCTCAGAGTTCGACAAGGCGAAGTCGCAACTCAAGGAGGCAGAACAGATGGGAGAAGACGCAGACGCAGACGCAAAGAAGAACGTCCAAGAACTCAAGGATCTACGGGCACAGCTTGAAAAAGCAAACTCCCAGGTAAAGGAGGCAGAAGAGGCCAGTAACTCCTCGCAGTCTGAGCTGGACAAGGCCAAGTCGGAGGCAAAGGAGAAGGAAGACGCGCGCAAGGCTGCGCAATCAGAACTTGAAGATCTCCTGATTGTGTTTGGCGATTTGGAGGCGAAGAGGGAGCAAGATAAGGTGAGTTCTCCTTTTTCATGCTATGTATGCTGTGGCAGTTTGGCTTACGATTTTGTTAGAAACGTCTCAAGGATCTCGGACAGGAAGTGTCTGAGGCTGAGGATGAAGACGACGATGACGAAGAGGAGGGCGATGATGAATAGATGTATAGAATAGATGGATGATTGTACGTTGAAATCGCTGTTGTCATGGTCCCTAGAAGATAGAGATCGGTGTCAGATTAGGGTACAGAAGACGCAGGTGGATACCCCAGCCCCCGATTGCCGGAACACTGCCTACAAGTATTTAACGTCATGTAACCGTCCGTTGAAGCCCATATATTTATCATATTATAGACCGCGTGTCGCCGGCAATCGCTCTCCAGACAACTTTATACAACCAATGACATAGATATGATCCAGAATATGTCACTTCCCATCACCTACTCCAGAGACCAACAATTTCTTGACAATAGTCACGTTCTTTATGCCCTACTTTTGGTTGAACCATGAGCAAAGATTGCAATGTATCCCACCAATACCGGGTTGGAGATGCATTGACCATCCGTTCACACTGTCCGACTCCACCACCACCGAAAAGCGAATCTAACATTCGGGCACGTGCCGAAAAAAAAAAAAAAAAAAAAAAAGGCCGCGATGGAAAATGGGAAGAGCTCTTATCTCCTCTCGAGCTATGCCTCCGGAACCCACCGCTCCCTGGCTCCGATGGGCCCGACATGGTTGATATCAAATTGATCGAGGAACTGCATGTGGGCGAGTACAAAGCAAATCAGCTGTTTGTGGCTAGGGCTGTGAAGAGCCCTCGATCCCTCAATCTTCCAACTGACTGCGATTTGGTCGCGAAGATTTCCGATCCACTCTATGGTGATTTCAGCCAAGCTCCGTTTGCCAATGCGGATCATGGGTATACTTATGAGACTGTGGCTTACACGCGTCTACCAGACTTGCAAGGCTCGGTTATTCCTAGGTACTATGGGTCTTTTACTTTGAAATTCAGAGTTGGCAGGCGTTTCCGCGTTGTTCGCTTGATTCTAATCGAACGGATTCATGGCATGCCAATGGATGACTTAGACCCTCGCGCACCGAAAGAAGAACGCCAGAGAATTTTGAAACAGATCGTCGATGCGGAGTGCTCCTTCTATAACAGAAACTTGATACACGAGGACTTATACCCACGGAATATACTTATCAAATATGAAGGAGACCAAAGAAAGCCGAAAGTTGTGATCGTCGGCTTGGGATGGTTGGTTTTTGGACGCACTCGTAACGCAGAGAACATTGAGGAAGAGAAACGACACCTCTCGGGGACTCCAATTAGCCCATTGCTTAGATGGAACATCGCCGTGAACCGTCAGTATACCTTTGACGAGTAGATCGACTGGCCATGGCAACCTTGGCTTGAAAAGCAATAAATACAAACATACCATGGCAAGCATTACACAGGAGCAAAGAGACCTCTTTCCGTTCTATGATAGGATGCTGAAGGGGGAACTGGATGACTCTTATTCTGATACTGACGGGTTTGATATGTAACAAATGTATTTGACTCATTAGGGCTATGACTGCATACTCGGATCTTTTCTGTACCACGCAGGTATATAAGCTATAACTCATACCATACAGAGCATATAGTAACATTTATACCAGTATTGTTTTTTGAATTATTCTTCATCTTTTACTCTCTCGACACGAAGTTGTATAGATCTTCTCCCAAAACGGAAGGCGGTGCAATCCAAGGCGGGGGTGAGTCATCAGCCACTTTTTTATCTTTTGAACCCCGCGGCAGCCCCTCGGAAAACCACCCACGACAGCCTCGAATTCCCCAACACATTCGCCATGTCTGTTGATTTTCCGGCTGAGGAGGAGATTGTCCTCCAGCGGTGGAGAGAAATCAACGCCTTCCGCAGGCAGGTTGAGCTCTCCAAAGGCCGCAAACCCTACACCTTCTACGATGGCCCCCCATTCGCAACGGGTCTTCCTCACTACGGTCACTTGCTGGCCTCGACCATCAAGGATATTATCCCCCGGTACTGGTCGATGAAGGGTCACTATGTCGAGCGGCGATTCGGTTGGGATACCCACGGCGTGCCGATTGAGTACGAAATCGACAAGAAGCTGGGCATGTCGGGATTGGAGGCTGTCGAGAAGCTTGGGATTGAGAAGTACAACGAGGAGTGCAGGGCCATTGTCATGAGATATGCCTCTGAGTGGCGTGAGACGATCGAGAGACTCGGTCGTTGGATTGATTTTGACAATGACTACAAGGTACGTTCGTGCGAAAGCGATGAGAGAGGGGGGAGAGGCTGACTTTGAGATCTTTGTGTGAGTTAAGACCATGAACACCGGCTTCATGGAATCCGTGTGGTGGGTTTTCAAGCAGCTTTTTGACAAGAACCTGGTCTACCGGGGCTTCCGTGTCATGCCTTACTCGACCGCACTCAACACCCCGCTGAGCAACTTCGAAGCTCAACAAAACTACAAGGACGTTCAGGACCCTGCCGTGGTTGTTACATTCCCTCTCCGCAACGACCCCAAAACCTGCCTGGTTGCCTGGACTACAACTCCGTGGACTTTGCCCTCCAACACTGGTCTCGCTGTGAACCCCAACTTCGAATACATCAAGATCCTTGACGAGGCTTCCGGGAAGCACTACATTCTACTCGAGACCCTGCTCCGCACTCTCTACAAAGACCCCAAGAAGGCCAAGTTCAAGATTGTCGACCGTTTCAAGGGAGCTGACATGAAGGACTGGAAGTATGAGCCGCTCTTCGACTACTTCTGGGAGGAATTCAAGGATCATGGATTCCGCGTCTTGAATGCCGAATACGTCACTGCTGCTGATGGTACCGGTATCGTCCACCAGTCTCCTGCATTCGGTGAAGAAGATTACAATGTTGCCCTTAAGTCGGGCGTTATTGATGAAAACCGGGTCCCACCAAACCCTGTCGACGAACAGGGTTGCTACACCTCCGAGGTCCGGGACTTCGTTGGCCAACATGTCAAGGCTGCTGACAAGAACATCATCAAGCACCTCAAGGCAGCCGGCCGACTGATTGTCGATAGCCAGATTACTCACAGTTACCCCTTCTGCTGGCGCTCCGACACTCCTCTGATCTACCGAGCCGTGCCCTCTTGGTTCGTCAAGATCCCCCCTATCATCCCTGACATGCTGAATGGCATCGAGGAATCCCACTGGGTGCCCTCATTTGTCAAGGACCGCCGATTCTCCAGTTGGATCCAGAATGCTCGAGACTGGAACATTTCCCGGAACCGATTCTGGGGTACTCCTCTCCCGTTGTGGGTCAGCGAGGACTTCAAAGAGGTTGTTGCCATCGGCAGTGCTGAGGAGCTCAAGGAGCTCAGTGGGTACGAAGGAGAGTTGACCGACCTTCACCGTGACAAGGTGGACAACATCACCATCCCCAGCAAGCAAGGAAAGGGTGATCTTCGCCGTGTGAGCGAGGTCTTTGACTGCTGGTTTGAGTCTGGAAGCATGCCGTATGCGTCTCAGCACTACCCATTCGAAAACAAGGAGCAGTTTGAGAAGGGTTTCCCTGGTGATTTCATCGCGGAAGGTTTGGACCAGACCCGTGGTTGGTTCTATACCTTGACCGTCCTGGGAACTCATTTGTTCGGTAAACTCCCGTTCAAGAACTGTGTCGTGAACGGAATTGTCCTCGCTGAAGACGGCAAGAAGATGTCGAAGAGATTGAAGAACTATCCCGACCCTAACCTGATCATGAAGCGTTACGGTTCGGACTCTCTTCGATTGTATATGATTAACTCTCCTGTTGTCCGTGCTGAACCTCTCCGGTTCAAGGAATCCGGCGTCAAGGAGATTGTCGCCAAGGTCATGCTTCCTTTGTGGAACAGTTACAAGTTCTTTGAGGGTCAGGTTGCTCTTATCAAGAAGGCTGAGGGCATCGACTATGTTTTCGACCCCAAGGCAGGAGCAACGAACATCAATGTCATGGATCGCTGGATCCTGGCAAGTTGCCAAAGTCTTCTCAAGTTTGTCAACGAGGAAATGGCAGGCTACCGTCTGTACACGGTCGTCCCCCGGTTGCTTGAATTGATTGACAACACCACCAATTGGTACATTCGTTTCAACCGGAAGCGTTTAAAGGGTGAGAATGGCGTTGAAGACACCCTGCACGCCTTGCACACCCTCTTTGAGGTTCTCTTCACTTTGGTCCGAGGCCTTGCCCCGTTCACGCCCTTCATCGCCGACACCATCTACCAGAAACTCCTCCCTCACATCCCTGAATCTCTTCGCGGTGAAGACGACCGGAGCGTTCACTTCCTTCCTTTCCCCGAGGTTAGGGAGGAGCTCTTCGACGAAGTTGTTGAAAGACGGGTGGCACGGATGCAGAAGGTGATTGAGATGGGTCGTATGTCTCGTGAGCGCCGGTCCATCGGTCTCAAGTCGCCTTTGAAGACCCTGGTTGTCATCCATCAAGACCAGCAGTACATTGATGATGTGAAGTCCTTGGAGCCCTACGTCCTCGAGGAGCTGAACGTCCAGAGCCTTGTTTTGTCGTCTGACGAGGAGAAGTACAACGTCCAGTACAGTGTGACTGCCGACTGGCCCACCCTGGGTAAGAAGTTGAAGAAGGACGCCCAGAAGGTGAAGAAGGCGCTGCCTTCGCTCACTAGCGACGACGTGAAGCGTTTCCAGAACGAGAAGAAGATCCTCGTTGATGGCATTGAGCTCGTGGAGGGTGACCTTGTGGTTAAGCGGGGTGTCAAGGAGGATGCTACATCTCAGGGCTTGGAGCCGAACGCGGACGCTGATGTTCTGACCATCCTCGACGCCAACCTGTACCCAGAACTCGCGGAGCAAGGACTGGGTCGTGAGATCATCAATCGTCTCCAGCGTCTCCGTAAGAAGGCCGGTCTGGTCCCTACTGATGACGTGAAAATGGAATATGCTGTTCTCTCGGACCCTGACCAAGTCGGCATTGACAAGGCTTTCGAGAGCCAGTCCCAGGCCATCGTCAAGGCTGTGCGCCGGCCACTGGAGAAGCACGCGTCTGCGGAGGGTAAGGCACTCAGTGCTGATGAGGAGGGCATGATCTTGCAGGAGGAGCAGGAGGTGCAGAAAGCCACATTTTTGTTGAGACTGCTGAAGCTGTAAAGTTTATGTTTGTTATATATTCGGATACTCCATGTCTAAAGACTAGATAAAAATTTACGTGTTATTGACTTCTATTACTGTTTCCCTCGCAGCGTAGCATATGATGATAAATTCGTAGCTCAATATATACAGCCCTTGCCAGCTCTCAGCTCTTTTTCGACGCTGCCTGCAGACCAGTTAGCCAGTACTCTCACTTGGTCAGGGAATAGTATTTCATACCAAATAACAGTCCTTCAGCTTCAAGAACTCTTTGGCACACATGTCCTTGTGCACGGAGGTATAGTCGGCAAGAATGCACTTGCCATATGCCGCCGCCTGGACAGAATTAGCATCGACAACCATATGTATACCAGTTCTCACTCACCTCAACAGAGCACTTGGCCGTAGCCTTAGCGAACTTATCAATAGGTCTTGTCCGGGAGGTCATCGTTGCGACATGAGCATAGTGTATAGTGAGAAACCACAGCTATTTCCGATCCACGTCAGAGGATTACCTCAGCAACCTATGTCACGTGACCCTCCCGCATTCCGGTCGCGCCAAAACAAACAAATGCAGTGATTGCTTCGACAGACAATTGGCATTTGGAACATCGCATGCGGAGTCTCTAGCCGCTGCGATACTCAACTCTTTTCAATTTGGTTTGGAGGACTTCCTGCTCGCCGCGCAATGAATGATTTCGTTTCCCGCCTCTATGACACATTTGCGAAGGACGCGCCTTAGGTCGCGGATTTTTCGATGCCTCCGAATCCCCGTCAGCGTAGAGCTCTGTCCTATGAAACCCCGTCTCTCTCGGACGAAGGTGCGCTCAATCCCTGTGGTTCTAATTAATCGTGGCTAACAGCGGGTGCCTGCAGATGTCGGCCTACTCTATCAGATCATCACCCGCGCCGAGGGCAAGCCCGAAGCCCATCAAACGCCATTCCGGGCCTTATTCACGGCGTACGACGAGATCATTGACGAACATGCCGTGGACGCTGACCCAGGCCATGTCTGCCTACACTTCCTGTTCAAGATGGGCAGCAAGGGCATCAAGGGGGATACATTGTTTGACAAATTCGAGAATCTGTTGCAGCACATGGGGATAGTGATTGAACTGGGCGACGAGACCGAGACGAATGAATACTACAATCAGAGTTCTGTTTATGGTGGTCATAGCGGGACTGTGACTGTGGATTATAACCATGGGGATTACCCTCAAAGGGATGAGGACACGACGCAGCCGGCGCGACGGAGACGGGCATCGTTTAACTCGATGTATGATATTGGCGATGATCCTACGCAACGGAGTATCGCGAATCGCCCTAGCTCGCGCTCGTCGTTGTCGCGACTGGAGGTTGGAAAGCCAGAGTTTCCCGAACCCACGCCCAGACCGTCGCCGAAACGTCCTATCGCGAACGCCAGACAGCACGACTCGCCGGACCGGACCCAATTGATTGCACAATTTCTGGATGTTGGGCGTCGATTGATAAGTCGGTTCGATTCGTTAAAACCGAACCGAGATAATGCTGGTGATGAAACTCAAGTCAGTGTCGGAGCGCAGGCCAAATCTGCCGTGCACAAGGATCGTTCTGAGAGGCTGTCGCGACGTCGGTCGCGTAAGTCACTGAGCTCTAGCAGTTCGAGTGAGGATGATAATGATGATAATGATGATGATGACGATGGTGACGACGAATCGATTTCTTTCCATGGCGACGAAAGCGGACCGATTGAAAAGCCGGATATCCCTCCTGAGATGCTGTATCGACCCTCCCTTTCGGATCTGCTGCGGGATGCCTCGACTTTCAATATGTATCGTGAGCGCGGAATAAAACGCCGCCTTCTGACACAATGGCTGAAGAAGGCTATCCAGAAACGGCAAGGTAGTGCCAATATGGAGATTGTCGCTGTCAACCGTGACAGGTCCACACTGCTCCGCCAGGCTTTCGAACAATGGCGCGGTATCATCCAGGATAAGCGACAGGCGGTTCGCACGGAGCGATTCTACGAGCACCTTGAGCAGCGCGCTGGGCGTGCGCGTGACTTGTTCCTGGTCACCAAGGCCTTCACTCACTGGGCGCAAGTGACTTCCGAGGAGGTCGCCCGAACGTCTGCTGCGCGCAGACGTATTCTCAGTATCAAATATTTCAAAGCCTGGAGGGAAATCACTGCCGTCAACGAACTAAAGGCTCAGCGGTTTGCAATGCGCAAGCCATTCAGCACGTGGCGGAAACGGAACCAGCAGATTAAGGAGAATGAGATGACTGCCGCGGTTCGCCATGACAAAGACCTAAAGAATGGGGTCTACTGGCAATGGTTCTGGGGCTTTTGCGACCGACGCGCGCCACAATGGTACGAATATCGCCTCAAGAGACGTTCCTTGTTATGTTGGTTGCGAAGTTTCCGTACGAACAGGGAACGAAACCACGAGATCGAAATCCGAAACCGACGGTTAGCCATTGGATCAGCATGGCAGACATTGACTCAAAAATCCAGGGCTATTGCTGGTGCAGAGCAGGAAGCAGTATCCATGCAGCGGCACAAGCTTCTGACGGAAACGTTTGGCGAGTGGAAAATCCAAGCCTGCCTCGCTCCAGCTGCTTACCGTGTTTCTGATATGGTCGACAAACGGGTTCTTCGGTCTGCGTTTGCGCAATGGGTACAACGTGCTCATATGGGTAAGCAGGCGAGAGAAATGGACAGGCAAAGGATTATGCGAAACTCATGGACAGAATGGAACGACCAACTCCGCTGCCAGGCCCTCAGTGCACGAATTGACGAACGCTTGAAGATGGAAACGATGTACAAGTGGATCCTGGCAGAGCGGTTCAGCCTCATGCAGCGAATTCGAGACCAACGAATCAAACGCGACACATTCTCAACCTTTGTTGCCAGTATTCGCGGGACGTACTCTCGGCTGCTCCATCATGCAGATATCCACGAAGACTACCGCAGCGAGGAACTGCTTCGGTCGAAATTCAATACTTGGCGCGATCGGCTTGCACTCCAGCGACAACGGGAATATGCTGCGTTTGAGTTCTATGCGCCACGACTTCAGCAAGAATCCCTCGTTGCATGGCGATCTAAACAGCAGAATGTCGCGAGGCTGGAGGCACGATCAAAAGACGCTCGCTTCTATTTCTTAGCGACCAAGACAATCAAACATTGGCATACTGCTACGGTGCAGTCGGCGAAACGACGGCGTCAGGAGTCATATGCCTGGTTCCGAAGGAAAATGAAGATGAAAATAGCTACACGTGCTCTGAACAACTGGCAGTCGTGGGCTGGCCAGGTGGCTGATCTGGAGCGGCAAGCATTTGAGTTCCATAGAAACAAATCCTTGAGTATTGCATCCGGGTTGTTCGGTCTATGGCATGACCAGGCCTCGAAGCGTGTTCAAGATTGTCACGAAGCCGAAATGCACTATGCCCGTCAAGCTGCGTATGGTCAACTGATGCGCTGGACCGAGCTTTATCTCGAGAATCGCGATCTGGAACTACAGGCCGCTGGAATGTACCGTGTGCACATTCTCGGTCAGGCCAACGCTTCTCTTCGCAAACTTAGTCTCCGCATATTCCAAATCAATAGCTCGTCCGAAACAGCTGACTCACTGCGCGAGCGAAATACTAGAAAGCATGGAAGAGGCATGTTCCGTCACTGGATCGACAAAACACGCACCAAACTCGAGGAACGCGATTCTTTCGCCCCTCTCGTGACACCCGGTAGACCCGGACGAAGCTTCGACGGCACAACAGGCCCTCGATCTGGTCGCTCGCTCTTTGACCCATGGTATCCCGTCGAAACACCGTTTAAGATGAGCGAGTTCGCCACGCAGTCCCAGGGTCCTGATCTCGGTCCCGGCCCCTCTGCCAGTCCATTAGCGACACCCAACTACATGACTTCGCCATCTAAACGTGCTGCGCGGGCAAGAGTCCTGGCGCAAGCTTCAACGACCCCCGCAACACCATTGTACACGCCGTTCGCTGGCCGAATGCTTCGGGCCGAGGGCATGGCTGCGAAGAGTGCTTCGAATAGACGACGGAATGTTCGGGGGAGTGCAATGGGTACGAGTGTGAGGTTTGTTGATGAGGAGCCTACGTCGCCTTCGGAGGGGAAGAGGTCTGGGAATCGGCGAACTACGTCTTGACGGCATTCATTCATTGTTGTTTCTTATGAATCTGATTTTCTGCGGCATCGTTGTATATGACTTCTCTTTCTAATGGGCCTGTATTCTGGAATCTGGATTTGTTGATACCCTTTGTACCGTTATCATTGGCATTGGATGGTGTATAGTCGGCATTGTTTTCGCATGTTTAAATGGATATGTACTTGTTCTTTTGGATATACATAGGGAGGAAAACTAGGAGCATTGAGCGGCGTTGATGACGCTGGGGATAGACATTAAATATAAATGAATTGATCGCAGTTATCATAGTAACTCTTTAACAACTATTCATCAATCTTTAAGAGTGTCGAAAGAGCAGAAGAGGTATATTCATACCCAACCGTATATTAGTCTCTGCCTGCCAATCCTCGGTGGAGCTATAGTTAGCGGACACTCATCGTCACCTCCGCGGCTCAGCTTGACTCGTCTACTTGTATTCTCCAATCCACGACTTCGCTAGTCACTTACTATTTACTACTTACATTCATAATTTAACGCATTATAACTATTTACACTACCTGCAATGCTCCTCCCCTCTCCCTGAGCGCACGCAGCTCCATTCACCACGACCACCACCTCTATGCGAGCGGTTCTGCCGGGAAGACCCCCAGCGAAGCTCCAGTCGTTCAGCACCGCGCTGTGGGACGGTCTTCGCATTGTTGTATGTTACTTCTTTGCAATCCTTGAAAAAGAACGTCAGCTAATACAATACCGGTGTTAGGCCTACATCTCCGGCCATGCACTGGTGATCCTCGGCGGTCCGCAGAAGCTCCTCCAGACGGTTTACGTTGACGACACCGAGACACTCGAGGCGGTTACTATTGATGAGACTTCGGGGAAGATCGCGGTTTCTGGAGGACCGGATGTTTTTATTTATCAGCCGTATGGGATACAACATGAGGCATTGAAGGTGTGTTTTTGTCACCGAGAGCGCGTCGCAGCTGCTGGCGCATGAGTCCCCGAGGGAGGTACGGAGACAGGGTACTGATGGACGTATACACTACAGTGGTCGCTCGCCCATACATTCCGCTGCGAAAAAGACGACGAGACAATCCGAACGCTGTCATGGGGCTCTCCCGACGAGCTCCTCCTCGGAAACTCACACCTCACCCTCTGGTTCCTAAACGACACCCCGCGACTCGTCTGGAAACAGAAACTCGCCAGTCCCGTGAAACTCGCGCAGTTCTCCCCCGACGCGACGTTAGTGGTTACAACGGGTGTCTACGATCGAATCGTCAAGGTATGGCGACGACTTGCCTTTGGCGCGGACGATGCCCGCTTCGACGTCTTTTACCTCGCGCACCCGTCGATCGTTACGGGGATACACTGGCGCAAACCATATCATCGGGAACAGTCGATGGAGAATGTTCTATATACTTTGTGTGCGGATAAGAAGATTAGAGTGTGGACTGCGACGGAGGATGTTGCCTCGTCGGCGCTGCGGCTATGGACGCAGATCGATATGGAGGCTTCTGTTCAACCGAGAGATACGAACGATGCGAGGGCGATGCGACGATACGGGTTCGTGTTGGATAGTCGGGACTTTTGCGTGGCTACGGAACGGGCTGTCCAGAGGGGTACAGGGAACAAGGGGAACCATGCGTTGGAGCACATTATCGAAGTTGCCAACAAGTTTCCGGAGATCTGCGTTGTGATTGATGGTCAGGGTCATATGTCTGCTTGGGCATTGGAGGATGTGGGTTCCAAGACTCCTCCCGAATCGAAGGCCTTTAATATCTTGCACGTGGAGGGCCTGAACTTCTCGTTCATGTCAGGCGTTTCTGCGGAAGAAGACTATACCCAGCTTTGTGCGTTCCAGAGTGAAACATCTGTTGATTCTGTCAGTATCCTTGCGCATCACTTCGACGGGAGGATTGAGTGGTTTGACTCCCCAGTCGACGTCCTGTTCGACCCAGCGCCGCGCATAAACCGTATCTCCCGTGAAGGATCCTGGAGTGGACATGATGGACCGGTCAAGAAAATTGTCCGCAGTGCGGTTGGAGATACTCTTGTTTCACGGACGAATGACAGCCATGCCTTGGTTTGGAAGCAAAGACGGCGAGGCTCGGGCTCGACGCTCATCCGACAGAGCTCGCTCTTTTCGGAGGAGCACATTCATCGCAGTTGTATAATCAGGAATGGTGATTATCTGGTTAATCTTCACCACAACGCTATTTCTCTGTGGGATGTTCGGTCGTTCTACGCTGAGCAGCTCCAAGTCGAGAGGTTTGACCTCTCGAGCAAGCCGCTTTGCGTCCTTCATATTCCTACTGCAGAAAGGGACGCTGGGATCACCTATGTAGCGACTATTGGGACCGATATGAACGGCATTGCGTGGGAAATCCGTCTCCCGACTGGGGAAAGCCAAACGAATGGCAACGGTTACACTCAGCAATGCCATTTACGGCAGTTCTGCACATTCAGCCTCGATCCCAAGGAGGACATCTTTTATATATTACCCGTGGACCCTGCCGGGCAAGAAGCCAAGATGCCTGGATCCTTGGACGTCTTTTCTCCTGATATAGCACTTTCATATACCAAAACAGGAACCATCCGGACCTGGACTGCCAAGGTCGACAGGGAAAACAGCCAGATAGACTGGCTATTAACATCAACGGTGGAAACAGGCATCAATAACCCCTCATTTGCCAGCGGAAGTTCCATCAGAAAAGCCGCGCTTGTGGACGAGGGCCGCACTCGCCTGACAATATGGGACACAAGCGCCGCTCAATTGGAATATGAAGAGAACTTCTCCCAACAAGACATCATCCGTGATCTCGACTGGACATCTACACCGGACATGCAGTCAATCTTAGCCGTTGGCTTCCCTCACAAAGTCATTCTACTATCTCAACTCCGCTACGATTACCTCGACGCTCGTCCCTCCTGGACACAAGTCCGAGAGATCTGGATTCGAGACCTCACTCCCCACCCAATTGGTGACTCCTGCTGGCTCAGCAACGGGAACCTCGTCATCGGTGCCGGGAATCAGCTTTTCGTCTACGATAAGGAAGTGGATGTCGGTGATCGTCTTGTCTCTGAGCTCCGGATTCCATCACATGGCTCGTCGTATGTGGATATGTTTGAGGTCGTGAGTCGGTTGAATGGGCCGTTGCCTGTTTTTCATCCTCAGTTCCTGGCGCAGTGTATCCTTGGTGGGAAGATGAATCTGGTTCATAAGATCTTGACGACGCTTCATCGGAAACTTAAATTTTATACGGAGGGGGATCATATTGATAGCTTTTTGGAGATGCCGTTGGAGGACTTTTATGTGGATCAAGATGTAAGTCGCATCTTCCATAATCCACTCGAACATGCAGCTAATACAGAACAGGCACCACAAAAAGCATCCTCAAAAGAACTACACTCCTCCCTCGCAAATTTCACCCTCGAAGATGAACCATCCGTCATCGACGAAAACGCCGCCGCAACCCTCAACGAGACACTATCCCGAATCGCCCTCCCACAACTCTCGAGCCAAGAACAATTCCGCCTCGTCAATACAATCGAATGCGTAGCAACTGTTGAGAAGCAACGACGCTCAATGGACGATAATGCCGCCCGCTATCTACTTTTCTTCCGGCAGCATATGCTCCGCAAAGCGCAGGGTGTTGCGAATAGCGATACGGTTTCGTGGAGAGAGATTGTATGGGCTTTCCATAGCGAGAGTCATGATATTCTGTCTGATCTTGTGTCGAGACAGTTTAATAGTAAGATGACGTGGGCTTCGGCTAGGGAGAGTGGGATATTTATGTGGTTGTCTGATCCGAATGCTATAGTAAGTAACGCCTTTGGCTCTTACTATACATAACAGTTGTTAATAATGTACAGCGAGCCCAACTCGAAATCGTCGCCCGAAACGAATACACAAAAACAGAAGAAAAGAACCCCATCGACTGCTCCCTCTACTACCTCGCCCTCCGAAAAAAGAACATCCTCCAAGGCCTCTGGCGCATGGCAAGTTGGAACCGCGAACAAGGCGCTACACAACGACTCCTCGCGAACGACTTCCGAGAAGCACGCTGGAAGACATCAGCGCTCAAGAACGCATACGCGTTACTTGGAAGGCGGAGATTTGGTTTGCCTCCTTTCCCCCAAGAACCTTGAATGTAGCTGACATCTGCAGAATACGCCGCGGCATGGTTCATTCTCGCAGACCATCTACGTGACGCAGCACATGTCTGTATAAACCAGATCGGCGACCTTCAGCTTGCGATTGCTATCACGCGAGCGTATGAAAGTGATGATGGACCGGTGTTGAAGGAAATCCTGGAACAAAGGGTCCTACCCGAATCTGCGTCCGACGGTAATCGCTGGATGGCATCATGGGCATTCTGGATGCTAGGCCGTCGCGACATGGCCGTTCGTTCTTTGATCGTAAGCACCCTCCTACCTCCCCTCCAACCATGCAAACCCATCCCTAACAAAACGAAACGAAACAGTCCCCCATCGAATCCCTCCTGACCCCACCCCCCTCCTCAACCTCCCCATCCCCATCTCCCCAAACCACAACAATCCCCCTCCACGCAAAATCCTACCTAACCAACGATCCTGCCCTAATCCTCCTCTACACATACCTCCGCGCCAAAACCCTACAAACCCTCCGCGGCGCCTCGCAAATCCCCCCTCTCACAGAATGGACCTTCATCCTTCGCACAGCCCGTCTATACGACCGTATGGGCTGCGATCTGCTTGCGCTTGGTCTTATCAGGCACTGGGAGTTTTTGAGGGGGTTGCCGGAGCCGAAGAAGGTTAGGGATTTGGAGGAGGTTTTGGGCGAGGGTGGGGTTGATTTTAGGGGGATGTTGAGGAGGAGGAGTAGTTTGATTGTTGCGGATTTGCCTGTTCCTGTTTCTGGGACTGTGTCTGGTGAGGGCGAGGGGCAGGGTGAGAAGAAGGTTGGGGATGAGAAGAAGAAGGCGGAGGAGAAGAAGCCGAAGCCGCCGCCTACGACTTTTACGGAGCCGGATGCGAATTCGTTGTTGGATAGTTTTGGGTTTTGATTGTGCGTTGTGTGTACTTGTATATTTGCATGTTGGCGCTGTGGGTTTTCTTTGCTTTTGGTTCTTTCATCAACGTCAACTATGCGACGGTCCCAATATATATTACTTTGAAACGAGTTTCTATTTCCAATAGAGTATAAGAATAGCCTATATTAGATAGAAGTATATTGACGACTCATACTGCAGTATGTATGAGGTATTCAGGCAAAATAAACAGACTTGGGATATTTACAACACTTCAAAAATCACAAAAACACTATCCTGTCCTGTCCTGTATCCTGGCGCCAGGGCAGAGACTCAAGAATTACGATAATAGAAAAAAGAGAAGGGAGGGAATAGTAGCGAACGTCGGCAGTTGAATAAGAAACATGTTCAGGGCCAGGAGAGAAACAAATGAAAGGGAAACAATTTGCACAAGAATGGAGAATAGACAATGGTCGGAGAATAGAGAAAGGAAAACAATATGGGGATATAAACAAGTTGTTAACAATATTAGCCTAGTGGCTGTTGGCTTTGACATAAACAAGTAGGACCAAGGATATGCGAATGTCCATGAGGTAAGTCGCAATCGACTTTCAAGGCAGCTCACGACGACACATACTTTCCTGCCACCAGCTTGCGAGCTGTGGGAACCTCATCCCAGGTAACAGCAGGCTGGGGTTCCGCGTCCTCGTCAGCAAAAGGATCATCCTCCTTGGCTTCCACATTGTCCGAAGCAGCGCTGATACCCAGTCTCCCGCCGGCATCAGCCGTGCGGACGTCAAACTTGGCCTCGACTTTACCCTGCTTAGGCCAGCTGCTGGATGTGGAGAATCGAACCAAGAATTTACCGTCTGCTCCAGTCCTGACCTCCAGCTCTGGGATCTTCCAGGTAACTGCAGATTGCTTGCGACGGAACGTGGCTCCTTGGTTGGGATACATGACGGCGTTTGTGGCGTGGGCCACTTCACGGGTCTCCTCGGGAGTTGTGTCGAGGTTCACCGTTAGAAGGAGGTTCTTGACAATGACCGAATCCACGGGCGTGGAAGAGGCGAATGCTGGGTTCACAGAATAGAATAGGATCACGCTTGCTTGGAACTCCTCAATGTTCCAGGCAGGCTTGAAGATAATAGGGCAATATGCCGAGGAATTGGATGGGTCCGTATGGATTTGGTACTTGAAACCCACCGTTGGTGACGAACGAGAAATGCTTGGAAGCGCAATGTTGTACTCGCCCCGCTTCTCCTCCGTCTGTACCGTGTCCCTCTGTTCAGTAACGAAATGAGGATTTGCTGCGACCTTCTCCAAGACTTGGAAGTTATTCAGGCGAACTCGGATGCTGTTCAAGGTTGTTTCAGGTTGCTGGTTGTAAGCCAAGGCGAGCTCTCCAACAACGAAGGATTTGGTCACTGCCCCCTCAGAGAACCATGCGCTAACAGTCTCAATGATGGACGCATTAAGACCAGGCTCGTGCAAGTCCTGGTGTACTGGGGGTCCAGTCACGGTGTGGCCTGAGCGAATAGAAGTAGTATCGGACATGGCGTGGTCCTCTGTAGCATTACTAGGGGAAGTCATGTGTCTCGCCGACAACGTCGGGGATGTTGGAATAGGGGCATTGAAACCCGCGGGAAGGGAGGATTCCTGGCCCGGTACAGGCGCGTTTGGAACGAAGACTGTGTTCCGGACGTCGCGACGACCACGGATGGTGCCTGCATTACGCCTGACACCTGAATGCTGAGCACGCTGCAGGAGTCAGCAATGTACGACCGTATTGAGTTCATACAACCCACCATCCTAAGAGTATTGGCCATATCATCCATCGCCTGTTTTGCCTGACTTTCATCTTCGAAGATTGGCTGCTCTCGGATCGTTAGGTTCATGCCTTGCTCTTCCAGACTGTATCATTTTAAGTTAGCGTACGTTGTAAACACAGCTAAGAATGGATGGGAATACCTGGCTGCTTCCCTCTGAGCTCGCGTGATCTCGTCAATACTCTGCGGTCGTTCCATGAAGCCTTCCGAGTCCACACGTGTCTAGTTGACCAGTTAGTTTAGTTTTTGAACCTCTTCAGCTTCATGTGTGCCCGGCGTACCTCATTGGTGAAGATCCCTGCACCCAAAGATGGTGCAATTTGCGCCTCTGGGGGTGCTGCACCATTTGTAGCAATGGCGCCAGGCTGAGGCTCTGTACTAGGTGGCGTCACTACTCCAAGGACTTCACGGTCATGGGACTCGCGTGCAGGTTCACCGAAGCTATCCTGACCAGTGCCCGGGCGGTCTGCACCAGGAGGCGGTGATTCGGGTATCTGCATTTCACGCGAGTCTCCACGCTTGAACGAGGCAAACGGACTGCGGTTCTTCTTGTCTGAAAAAAAGGAGCCCCCCACAGGTTGTGCGATACTCTTCCTTCTGCTGTTCATAACGGTACCGAGTCGCTTCAGACCACCTAGAGGGTGCCGCGGTTCGGGTACTATGGGAAAAGCAAAATGAGCCTCCGTTCAATACTAACTTAAAAGGACATGTTTGATGTCTTACCAGGAGGTGCAACTTTAGGAGTAGGAGCCGGTGCCTCCGAGTGCTGACTTGCACCATCATCGTGAATAGGAGGCGGGGCTGCAGCGGGCGTTGGCGTAGCGCTAGGAGACATTTCCTGCCTTCTAGCAACCACAGGCCTTCCTCCGTTGACCTTTGCCGCAAAGGTTTTAATCTCATCGGCAGTTTCGACGTTGAGAAGGGCGTTCAGACAACTCTCAGCCACCTCGCGACAACGCTCGACCTGATCCGTCTCGTGTGTTCCGAGCTGGGTGAGAACATCCCGGAGATGATTTAGTCGACCCTCATCGACAGCCTGCAACTGTTCGAATACAAACGGGGCCCTCGACTGCCATTGCTGGGTGACCTCCTCAGCCGCATGAATCGCACTAGCCAATTTATCCGCCCCTTTTGGGCCCTTCTCCTTAGCCTTCTCCAACTTTTTCTGGGCTGTTTCCATGTTCTTCGCCAATCCTGCTAGATCGCTTTGGACGACAGGCATCGATGCCAAATCGCGATTTTTATTGCCATAGTCTCTCAGTGGACGCTCAACATCCTCATCGATCTTCTGCGCGAGGGTCTCGTGCGACGCAGCGACCGCTTCAGTCGAGTTGATAATGCGCTGCCAGGGCAACTGGAATATCCTGTTTTACGCAAGCACCATCAGTATCATCGGTAGACACATATTCCAGCGACGTTCCGGCCTACCCGAGCGCAGCACCATTTTCCAGCTGCGGCCGACTCGCAAGTTTTCGCAAACCCTGGGCATATGCTTCCTCCACTCGTCGTCGTTCCTGTCGCCAGAATTGAACCCGTTAGTTCCGATCGTTCTCGAGTCGTTTAAATCGGGTATGGCGGAGCCAAGACAAAGAAGCGCACCTGAAGCCAATCCGCGACGTCTGTGTTGACCTTGGTAATTAGACGAACGCGATCATTGAGCACGGCAGTCGCTTGGCTGGGCTGCAAAGAGGCCTGGAAGTAGAGAGACAAAAGAGACATGGTCAGTCATTGAATGAAGTGTAAAAGGGACTTGGGGGCCATACCAGCAAGGCTGGATACTCCTGCCGTGAAAGCTCCATAATCACTGCTCATAGGTAATTGATGCAGGCAGAACAAACCACGATGCGCATAATACAGGAGCAATTAACAATAACAATAAACACAGCGATGAACCGGCATCAACAAGCGACCCCGAAAGAGAAAGCGAGAGAAAGAGAGACTTGGGAGATGATGACGACGGCGGAGGTGCTGGCCGGAACAACGCGTGATCCCGGCGCTAGGCCGCATTGGGCAGATGAGCTTACCTGACAGTGTCATGTCACCTGACTGCCAAAGGGGATGCAAGTGTGCTTGTTTGATTCAGGTATCCTCGTATTGGATCTGAGGGTTGATTACTGATTCATCACTAAAGAATGGCTGACTGGAAAAAGGCTTTGGGCTTCACGGACCGACTGACGGCTATCCAGTCCCTGTAAGTCAGCGGTGACCGAAGCTACATTGATATCGAGTAACTGCTAAGGTGTTCTAGTACTACTGCGTATCAGCGGGCCTCGTCCTCAGCAGCATTTGTGGAGGCTCAGTCTCAGGCCAAGAGGTTTGAAAGCGAAGCCTATGCGCAAGCCACGTCCAAGGTCCGTTCGGCTTTACCCCGAGTCCAGTCACTTGCTGATTAGATATAGGAAGACTATGACCGGATGTGTCAGGAAGCCATCGATGCTGCTGAAGCCAAAGAATCGGTAGCACCTATTATAAGTAGCCCGCATCAACAGGAGGAGGAACCATGGGAAGGTGGTCAGACGATCGGCCATTACAAATCCTGTTTTCCTCATTTCGATGGACTGCATTCGACCATCTATAAATCTAAACGGGAGGATGGGACCCTGGTGGCGGTGAAAGTGACCATGCCTCATATGTTGACGGCGCCTCACGACGCTGAGCGCGAAGTCCGACTGTTGCGAGCAGCTGCTAGCCCGCATGTGATTACTCTTTTGGAGACATTCAATTTCGAAGGAGGACGACTCATTTTAGTGTTCCCTTTCATGAAACATGACTTTGAGCAGCTGCTTCGTCGTGACATGCTAACGGCATCGCAAATCCGGTCTCATCTACGCGACATGTTCAGTGCATTGGCATACCTCCACGAACTGGGGATTATCCATCGTGATATCAAACCATCCAACATATTGCTGGACTCTCCCGATGGACCGGCACGTCTGGCAGATTTTGGCATTGCGTGGAAGGAAGATGACAAAGGTTCTGAGCCTGATGATAAGAAAATCACCGACGTAGGCACCACATGCTATCGAGCCCCGGAAATTTTGTTTGGTTTCAAGGGGTATGGAATTGCTCTCGATTTGTGGGCGGCAGGCTGTGTTGTTGCAGAGGCTGTGGCTGTAGGCCACAAGCAACTGTTTGACTCGGGGCCTGTGGGAAGCGACTTGTCTCTTATTCAGTCCATTTTTGTGACTCTTGGAACTCCAGACGAGGAGGTTTGGCCGGTATGTATACCTGACTCGTGTGAGAATCCCATAGTATGTTTATTGACAGCCAATAGGAAACACGGATATTGCCGGATTGGAGTAAGATTGAATTTTATAAATATTCCGGCAGTTCATGGGACGATATCCTTAGGGGCGCTTCTTCCAACGGCCGGGATCTGGTGAGCAAATTGATAAGGTATGAAAGCAGCCAGAGATATTCGGCCGCAGAGGTACGTGGGCCCACTCTATGTCCGATTAAGACACACCCTGACATTTTGTAGGCGCTAGCGCATCCTTATTTCTCATCCTCGTCCTCGTAGGCATGGGAACCGCGAAAGTAGGAATACGGCTGGTTATACGCTCGGTCCGATGTCGATAAAAGTTTAAAAGCGCACATCTGCAGTCCGTCATCCGAGATTAAATGATAAAATAGAATCAGACTCAAGAGGTTCACAAAAACAGCCGACATTGAGGAAAGCGGATTCTGTATCCACTCTTGTCCCCGGCGTTTCAGGCCGCTTAGCTTCTTCGGACCCCTGGATTGTGACCACATCCCGCACCAAGTCATGACTGAGGCTTGAAATCAGTGACCCTGACTCGATTCGCATTCCTTGAACATGCCTCTCATCGTGTACAGAGTACTTCCACTTGTGCTTAAAAAAAAATACCGGAGTATTTGATGGTGGTTAGACGACAATTCCGCGCCGTCTGACATTTCAATGATCAACCGGCCAATGCGCAATTGCCAACGGCCAACTGATACGCACTAAGATATGGACCCGACAGCCTGATGCAGGACATCGCAATTTTAAGGACGTTGGCATCTTATCCCTATGTGGTTTTCTCTCCGTCCCTGTCGGTGCATAACATTATGCCTCCTTGTGATGAAATGAGCGCAAACCCTTTTTCTGCGGTATTTGACCAATCGCATCTGCCCTACGGCACATCTCCGGGGACGAGACTTTCCGACAGAGCCCGTGCTGTGCTGGGGACAATGCGAGGACCCCCCCCGGAGGACCCCCCACGAGCTGGCCCATGCGGTGGAAATGGGTCTCTGGTCGATGCGAAGTTGCCGACCTGTCTGGAAATATAATGTTCTCGTCTCAAGCCTCTCAATGGACTCTGAAGTAGTTCTTCCAAACAACTAGTAAATGACCAAAAAGGAGTCAAAAATAGAAAAAGGAGTTCGTTCCAGTCGCTGGTATTTCCTGGTAAGTTTGGTATGTTATGTTACCGTACCATGGATTGATAGTGGTGCCATACATTACCGTCATGATACCAGGAACGATACAATAAAGGCCAATCAGAATGTGAAATGTCTACATGGACGAGGAGCCCCACTGTACACTTAGCCATATCAGGCTAGTGATCTAGTATTAAATACAGTTTAATGCCAGCCCTGATTGGCCAACCCCGTCTCATTTCCCAAACAAGCGACAGTCAGTCCTTCATTCCAGTCCTTCTCTCTCTCTCCCCTTCTTTTCTCTCTCTTCTCTCCCATTCCCTCGCTTCCTACTATCGTCGTTCTTTTCTCTCTCCCTCGGGAGTTCCACCGTGTGGCTTTCTCTCTTTACTTTCGTTCCCTGATTTTGTCATTCTTTGCGCGGCCTGGAAGCTCGTTGTCCTTCTTTCAGTCGACTGGCTCGACGAGCGACCTCCGATATACTGCCAGATAGTCCCTCTGGTAGTGTCCATTCTTTTATTCTCACACTCTTTCTGACGCGCCGGTGTCCCTGTGCCTGGCAAGGAACGCGCTTTTTCGAAAAAAAAAAAAAAAAAAAGAAAAGAAAAGAAAAGAAAAGAAAAGAAGGCGAGAAAAGAACCAGAACTCTACGGAAACTCTACAATCCTCTTATTCTTTACGAACCCTATCGTTACTTTAACCATCAGCTTATATCATTGGTCTTTGTCGCCTAACCTGACTACACTGATCTAGAGTCATCGACAGTCACCATGGGTCATAGACATTCGCATCGAGACCACCTGGGAAAGCGCAACCCTGACAGCGGCGATGGAGGTATCCATGTGGTGTATGTGACAATGCCGGCCGATTTCGAAGGCGAGGTTGGGGGGTATCAGACAGACGGCCAATCGACTACGACGCAACGACTGATGGGCGTTGGACCGGCGGTTCAGGCTACGCGAACCTCGTCTTCAGAGCAGACGACGCAGATGGAGGAGGCAAAGACGGAAACTACTCAGCAGGAGACGCATATGACCAACAAGCAGGCTACGAAGACAGAACAGACTGCTACCCAGACCTTGGCCACCGACACGGGCAATGCGCAGACGCAGACGACTCTTTCAACTGCTATTTCGGAGGGTACGAAGACGGCTGCTACGAACGTCAATAACAACAACCAAATCGCAGCTGCAACTGCTGGCTCTTCGTCTTCCGAGCAATCATCTGCTTCGCCATCCACGTCTGCGGAACCTAACTCTAGCGCTATTTCTGGTGGTGCAAAGGCAGGAATCGCAATTGGTGTTATTGCCGCGGTTGGCTTGATCGCAGGGTTGATCTTCCTGTTCATGCGCAAGAAGAAGAAGGCTGAGCAACAGCAGGAAGCTGAGGATGAAAAGGTGTTTGGCAACCACGGTGCATTCCCGCCAGTTTCCCCACGGACGCCAGAATCAGAACAGCCCCGGACCCCAGCGGAACCTCCCCAACTGGAAGTCCGACCCATCACTCAGTTTGCTCCATTTGGTGGACACAGTGACGTTTTGACAGCTGTAACCGCCGCTGGTGCTGCCGCAGGGGCCAATGCCGTTGCTTCGCGTGGTAACCAGCCGCCTCCTGACACGCCGCTTACGAGTACCACTACTGGGCCCAGAGACCCATTTAGCGATCCAGTGAACCCCTTCCAGATCCGCAATGAGCCCCCATCTCCAGACGGTACAGCAAGTTTGCACAGTCTGTCCGTCAAATCGATTCCCGAAGCACCCGAAACTGTACCTGATGCCACTGAAGCTCCTGGTCCTGCTGTTGCTACCGCTGCTGGAGGAGCTGTCGCCGCTACTGGTGTTGCTGCTGCCACTGATAACAAGAGCGAAAAGGAATTACCCGCTCCGCCAATGGCTGAAAATGCCGAAAGATCAGCACCGCCCGCCCCAGACACTGCGTCCGCGAATGCTGGTCGACCTCTCACCCCTCCTGAAGCCAATCCTTCGTCCAATGCGCCCACTGCGGCTCCTGTTGTCGCACCCGCTCCTGGTCCATTGAATGTCCATCGTGTGCAAATGGATTTCGGTCCTTCGATGGATGATGAATTGGGACTCCGCGTTGGTCAACTTGTTCGATTGCTTCATGAATATGATGATGGCTGGGCTCTCTGTGTCCGACTCGACCGTTCTCAGCAGGGTGTGGCTCCTCGATCCTGTCTCTCTGCTCATCCGGTCAAGCCTCGTCCTCGTCCCCCTCCTGGTGGTCCTCCCGGTCCTCGCGGCCCTCCAGTTATGGGTCCCAACGGCCGTGTCATGCCTAGCCAGTCTCCCCGGTTCTATCCTCAAGATGGTCGACCAGGATCGCCTGCGCGCCCCATGTCGCCCGCTCGTTCGATGTCCCCGGCACACCCTCCTCCTGCTGGACCTCCTCCACCACTCCCATACCCGCAGCGCCCCATGTCGCCAGGACAGTTTTCGGCTCCACGATCGATGCCGCAGAGGTCCATGAGCCCGGGACCATACGGACCCCCAGGCCTTCAGCGCCCCCAAATGCCTGTCAACCAGCGACAGCGAAGCAATAGTGCTAGCAATGCGGTTGGACCAGGCCCACGAGCAGGCGCGGAGCCGAGTCCCCTGTCAGCCCCATTGACCAGCTCTCCGTCGGGAACTCAGAATGTCCTTTAATGCGAGGATCCACACAAGTCCATTCCTGAAAATCCACAACTACGTCCATAATGACAATCGTTATACCCGTTCGCTCATTTCCAGCGATTTAATCTCTTTTTACTCCATTTCTTTTCTGATGGGACGATTGATGCTTAATGCCGCTGGACGGAACGTGTCTTATGGCCATTCCAAGCGTGTGACGAGTGTTCGCTGCTGTCTTTCATCTTTTTCACTTCTTATATTTTCTATTTGTGATGCTTTATTTACTCTCGCTTGTATGTTGCGCTCCATGTTGAGGCGAACTTGTAGCTCTGTGAATACCCATGTAAGATACTATACATGTTAAAGAGTGTCTTTTCCACTATGTACGCTGTCTCTCATATTTGACTGTTCAGCTCCGAATAAAGTTTATTCACTATGTCCCAGTTCCACTGTGCAGACTCGGATAGTTCTATCCCGACCATCTTGGCTATAGATCTTAGCTCAAGCATAGATAATCGCTGACTGTAGGGCTGACTATTCCCAATGCGGCAATCGGTCCCAATCCAGCGCTGACACAGCGGTTCCACCTCCGCTGACATCGCACACCTTGATTGGCTCTGCTATGCTCCTATTGCGGACCACTGAATCAGCGGTCGGTTCGGTAAGTGCAAACATCAATGGAGATGATAGTCTGTCCGGAGTCATCTGAACGCTTATTCTGCCTCCAACCGTGAAAATGTGCGGCACAAGGATCATCAGAGCGTTATGCTCAGCTTACGCCTCTTTTATGCACCTTTGACACGCATTACTATGCATTATCTGGATTATCGGGTCCGGAATAGAGCGATTAGAATCCTTATTTATACTCAGCGCCATCCGTTGACTTTTGAGTACTCATTCCTCTCATTCTCATTCTCTGACAATCCTTGCTAACGAAATGCAAGACCCCGAGAAACAACCACAGCCATCAGAGACAGCCTCGTCCACCCCAGACAAACCTCTCTTCCCAGAAACAGATCTCTCCCGCGACATCGTGGGCTGGGACGGCCAAGACGACCCTGCGAATCCGCAGAACTTCTCGCCAACGAAGAAATGGAGTCTGTTGGCGCTAATCAGTTCGGTGACGCTGATCTCGCCGCTCGCGTCAAGCATGTTCTCGCCAGCGGTGGGTTATATGGCGGCGGACTTTGGGGAGAGTGATCAGACGTTGTTGGCTTTTAGTGTTAGTATCTTTTTGCTGGGGTATACGGTAGGTTCCCTCTTTCAACTTTGCTTACAATGACGGTGCTAATATAGGTGACAGTTCGGTCCACTACTCCTCGCCCCCCTTAGTGAAATCTATGGTCGTCGAATCGTGCTTAGCGGTGCCAATTGGTTCTTCGTCGCTTGGCAGATCGGATGCGCCTTGGCCCCGAATCTCCCTTCCCTGATCGTATTCCGATTCCTTGCTGGTATGGGAGGTGTTGGGTGTCTTACTCTCGGAGCGGGTGTCATTGCGGACCTGTTCCCAGTTGAGAAGCGCGGAATGGCAACGTCTATCTGGGCTATGGGACCGCTTATTGGGCCTGTTGTTGGACCGATCTGTGGTGGCTTCATTGGCGAAGAAATTGGATGGAGATGGGTGTTCTGGATTTTGTTGATTGCCGGTGCGGTGCTGTCTTTTGGCATCGAGTGTCTCAACCGCGAGACCTACGCCCCGGTCCTTCTACGCTGGAAAACAGCCAAACTAGCCAAAGAAACCGGCCGCACAGATCTACGCAGCGCCTACGAAGCTGACAAAGAACCTGCCTCCCTCCCCAACGTCCTCCGCCAGGGCATGCGCCGCCCCGTCCTCCTTTTCTTCAAATCCCCAATCGTCTTCCTCCTCTCCACCTACATGGCCTTCATCTACGGCCTCCTCTACCTCTTCTTCACAACGATCTCCTCCGTCTTCCAAGAGAACTACGGCTTCTCCACGGGCCTCTCGGGCCTCGCCTACCTAGGCATCGGAGTCGGCTTCATGACGGGCCTCGCCGCCGTCGCAATCACAAACGACAAAGTCGTCATGTCCCTAACCGCCCGCAACAACAACAAATACCAGCCCGAATTCCGCCTCCCCGCAATGATCATCTTCGCCTGCATCCTCCCCATCAGTTTCTTCTGGTACGGCTGGACAGCCGATAAACACGTGCACTGGATCGTGCCCATCATTGGCATGTTCCCGTTTGGCGTCGGTATGATGGGCATCTACATGCCTATCCAGATGTATATTATCGATTGTTACCCGACGCATGCGGCGTCTGGGAATGCGACGTTGACGGCGACGAGGTCGTTGCTTGGGGCGCTTTTGCCGTTGGCGGGGCCGAAGATGTTTGAGAGTTTGGGGTTGGGGTGGGGGAATTCGATGCTGGGGTTTATTGCGTTGGCGTTTTTGCCAGCACCTATTATTTTTAATCGGTATGGGCAGAGGATTAGGGAGAAGTTTCCGCTTAATCTGTGAGGGCCTCACGGAGGTGTTTTCTTTGTATGATGTAATGTGCAAAAGTATAGACTTGATATAGCATGTAATAGACTAATGATATAATTCTTCCTACTATACCAAGTTCACCTACAGTAACCCTTTACACCTGTATACTCCGAATCTGTATACAAACCAACCACAGCGCCACACTTCCCCAGACCGCCCTTATTCTCTCAGTCGAAAACATAGCCCACCAGACCGCCTTCCCTTCTTCCTCCATCCTCCGCATCGCCAGACCCCCAGACACAAACATGTCCAACCGTCCCAATGCCGGCCCCAACCTCACCTCCTCCGAGAAAAAGCGTCTCCGGGACCGAAAAGCGCAGAAGACACTGAGAGAGAAACGCGACGCACATGTGAAATCCCTGGAAGACCGGGTTGCGTTTTGTGAGCGGCACCATGGACATTCGCCCGCACCTGCGTATGGGAATGGGGTAGAGTGGACGCCATCGCCATCGCAATCGCACAAACTCTCTCAGACGGAGACGCAGCAGTTACTTGCGACGGTGGAGAACTTGAGGAGGGAGAATGAGCGGTTGCGCGTGCGGCAGGAGGGGTTGAGGGGGATAGTTGCGGAGTGGGAGGTTGAGGATGCTGCGCAGGGTAAACATCATGACACCGGATTGGCGCTGAACGGGCAGAGTGGGAGTAATGATACCATAACGTCGTTTGGATACACCATGGCTTCAGATCCAGCATCCGCAACTGCCTCTCCATCGACCTCCCCTCTCGCGTCAACTGGCCATGACCGATACACGACCGATACCAAAACACCCACATCTACACCCCTCCAAAGCGCCGAACCCATCCCCCCAGACTTCGCCTGGTCCAAAACCCCCATAAACGAATACGGCCACAACCTCTTCTACTTCCCCGCAACCTGCCCCTGGCTCTCCAACCCGCACCTCATCGCCCCCTGTCCCCCCTACCCATCACCATTAGACCTCCTCCACGGCACCCGCCGGAACTATCTCGCGGGCCAAATCCACCAACTCATCCGGCGGCGCGCGTTTCGGGATTCTGAATGTTTGGCGTTGGGTTGGTTGGCGTATTTGTTTAGTAAATGGCGCGCGACGCCGAGTCCGGAGACTTTTGCTAGGCTTGCGCCGTTTCAGAGGCCTGTCGCGATACAGTTACAAAAGGGCCATCCAGCATCGCTGGATTTAATGCCGTGGCCACAACTCCGCACCAATTTAATAAAGAACTGGACGAAGTTCGATTTTGTGGAATTCGCGGGGTACGCGTCGTGCTGTATCAAGGTGCGGTGGCCGTGGGGCGAGGATGTACTTGAGAGGGACGAGGAGGATAGGTTTCAGGTAAGACGGGAGTTTATGGAGGTGTTTACGAGGGAGAGTGGGTGGGGGTTGACGACGGAGTTTATTCAGAGGTATCCGGAGTTTGTGGAGGGGATGGATGTTGAGAATGTGAGGTTTCGGTTTGAGTTGCCGGATTTGGAGACGTTGTCTTTTCGGAAGAGTGAGCTTTGAGGTTGATGTACATGTCTTCTGTACTGTGTAACTTAATATGTCTTTATAATGACATGATACCCTATTTACCAGACACTATGTATGTATGTATATTAAATGCCTACAAATGAGGAACACCACCACTCGCCAACAGCAAATTAACAATACTAATAATCCCCTCTCCCAGAATCAACCCCGACGCCAAAACCACCACCGTCGACGACACAGCATCCGCCTCCTCAGCCGTCTGTTCCGCAGACCGTCCATCAATATGAGGCGGTCCAAGCAACATCGACGGATGATGTCCATGACCAGATCCAGGAACATCGCGGCCGGTGGTAGCAGCATACGTGGGAGGTTCAAATTCGAACTCCCGGTCTTTGGCTTTGTTGGTGCTTGCGTGTTTCCGCGCCCACCACCAGGCGATTAGGCCGCCGATTGCTCGTGCGAGGGTGAAGGAGGGTTCGTTGAACATTCCCACTGCGACGGCGATGCCGCCGGGGATCCAGGCGCGCCATGGAGCGCTGGAGCCGTGTTGGCCGTTGTTTGCGATGGGTGATGCGCCGACGATGCGGAGGATGGTTATGGCGATGAAGGCAATACCAGCGAGGATGGATGCTTGCCATGCCATAGGGGGTAGGCCCTGGCCTGTCACGAGACGAGCGGTCATGACCCAGGTGTAGGCCGTTGGGGTTTGGAACATCGGGCCTGGGACCTCGTAGACGCTCACGTACATCTTGTACACGGCGGTTGAGAGGACTGCGCCGATTAGACTGCCGATCATTTGGCCGTAGAATTGTGCCTTGGGGCTTGCGCCGAGGAGGTGGCCTGTTTTTAGGTCTTGCATCATGTCTCCGGCTTGGAGGGCGCCGGACTCGGATACCGCACCGGCGAGGAGGTTGGTTACTAGCGCAGTGCGGCGGGAGAACTGCCCGGTGGGTGTTGCGAGGGAGAAGATCACCTGGGTTAATTTGCTAATCCCAGATACAGGATTGAGGTCTGTCTCCCCCAAAGCGCGGACTCCCATGATCGACAACAGCACGGCAAGCAGAGTGGCGAGACTGGATAGCATCGGGGACATGACATCGCCAAAGACAAAGTGCATGCAGATTACATTCAGGATGAGCGTCAACGGCAGCAAGATGACCACAGTCCGCGTGGAGATAAGTTGAGATGGCGGCATATCTCCGTCGGCTTGATGGTCGATTGGAGGACTCTGATGAGACACAGGGGTCGACACCTCTGTGATAGGGCTCAGTGCAGCATAACTGATATGAGAACGATGCTGAGGTTTGTCTGGCTTCACAAACAAATGTCCAAAGCGACTGGTGAGTATTCTAGCCTTGATCTGGGGCGCACGTGCCACCAGAGGCTTCAGCACCAGCCATCCCAAGCTGACAATGGAATCAGCAAGCATGATGGCCAAAGAGATCCACACGATCCATCCTTTGCTCCCTGTTTGCCAATCACCTACAGGCCCTGTAGCCCAGCCACGCGACCTTGCCAGCGGAGATAGGATACCCCAACCGAGCACCGCTCCAAAGAGCATGTGCATGCAAGTAGACGGTCCCATGATGATTCCTTGTCCAATATATGCCGGGGATGGGTTCAGCGTCCAGCGCCAGTTCTGAGCAAGGAAGAGACCAAGAATTGGAATATCACGGACTTGAGGTACAAAGTAGGAAAAGAGAGTCTGCTGCCGTTAGCATGGAACTCATTCTCGTAGATGGAAACAAGACTCACGTAAACACCGGAGAACGCGAAGGCGCCAACCAACAAACGCATCTTTGACCTCCAATCCTTACCATCGTCTCCATCGTGGTCTTTTCTTAATAGAGAGCCACTCTCCTCAGATTCATGCGGCGCGGCAAGAATCTCATCCTCCTCTTCATCTCGCTGGACTTCAGCAGAATGCCTAGCCCGTGTCTTTGCCTTCCTATCGCTCTGTCCACTCCGATGCAGGACCCTAAGCATCAATGCCGACGCAGTTCCACTAGGAAACTTCAACTTCTCCCTCACAATCACCTCTTTCCTCAATGGAACCGCAAAGACCACACCGAACAGGCAAACCCCGAGACTCCAAAGGACCAATTTCCCGAAACCTAGTTTCAAAGGACCGCCCTCTCCCTCACCACCATCTCCAGCAGGACCATCGGGTCCATCTTTCAGGAGAAACTCCAAGGCCGGGATAACACCCACGAAACCGCACCCCAATGGCATTGTTCCCACCGCCCCCGCCACAGTCTGGATAAGGACGTTCTCGATCGGCGTGAAGGGGTACGACAGGTATTTCGATAAGACCTTGAAAACCGAAAATCCAATCAGAGCCGAAGGCATAGCCATTGTACTAATCCATCCCGTCTGTAGACCAAAGTAGGTATTCGAGAACGTAATCAAGGCTCCGATGATGATTCCGGCGATAAGAGATCGGGGCGTGAAGCTTCGCGCGGTGGATCGGGTATAGCGTTCCATTTCGATATCCGCATCGATGTCTTCGTAGTAGCGTTCGTATCCGTCTTCTCTGACGCTGTGGGGTGTTCTGGGTGGTGCCCTGGACGACGATGGACTGTGGCCCATCGGCCGCGAAGGACTCGCATCGGCCGCCATGTTGAGGGTCTGGTAAATCATCCGATTAGAGACGAGCCATCCATCACTGTGCTTTCAATAGCACTTTGTCAATCCTTTTGATTGATAACGATTCGACCAGTCAGCGAGTTCAGAGCTTTAAGGATGGAGGAGAACTCGAGCTGAATCGAGGCAGCTGAGTGCACGTGATTGTCAGTGATAAGATAAGCAATGATGTCAGCCATTTGTCTCCTTTTGTCTTTTCTTTCTTCCAACAGGTACGTTCTTTAGGCATTGACGAACTACTATCTAATGAGTGTTGCTGACTTATGCAGTAGATGCTATTACAGATAGCCTAGCTGGATCGCATTGGTACCTGGCTAGGACTGTGCCTTCCATATGTCCATAATACATCCGCAAGGGACAGGCCTGTATACCAAGCCTTGCGACAGAGTCTTGTACATTGCTGCAATGATTGAGTGCTACAAAGTTGTATGGAGTGGGGGAGGTCATTCTTTCTCTTCTATGGTGGCCACTGTACAGCGGCAAGATTCAGTGAGACAACCGGCTGAGAACCCAGACCTCTACAGGGGTAACTACTAGGGGTATCTGATTGAATTTATCGTCTTGATCACGGCAAGACATCGATCAGTCTCTGGGAGAGTATTATTATGATACACCACAGAATACAGAATACTTAGCAGTGTTTCATTGCGTCCCCAGCTCCTAACATCACCTGGAATGCACGGCGGTTATGTTGGGACACTGGAATGTGGGTGGTGCTACTTTTCACTGGAGATTCAAGAAGCTTCCGATGATACAATATAGTACCTGCATTCCTTTAATCGGTATGTCCCATAACTCATGAAGTTTGTGCATAGTGTTTGATGCGCTTGAAGGAGGTCATGAGAGAGATATAAGCTCGTGAACTTCCGGCCATAGCTTCCATCAAATCAAGTGTACACAAAATACGAAAAATACATCATTTCCTTTCAAGCCTTGTTTATATCTGAAGTCATTGTTGATCAGTTGACACGAGTGCTGGCACTCATCCACACCATGAACTTGCAAACCGTACGCCCCCAACCCTCCCCAAAGACACAACCCAAGATAACTAACCCCAACTACTAGATCACCCTCCTCCTCTTCTACCTAACACCCATCACCGCCATAAGCTCCGCCCGCGTCTGGACACACTTCTACCCCAACTGCCCCGGCGAGCCCTACACAGACCTAGAATCCTACGAACACCACGACCAAATAAGCCACGAATTCGACATCCAAGCAGGAGCCTGCCAAGGAATCTCCGTGCAAGCTCTCCAAGACCACCGCCTGAAATATGTCGACCACGTGTCCGTCGATGCAGAGCTCTTCTGGACAGAGCCCTTCGACCAGTGCAACATCACCGTCCATGAGATTCCGCACTGTATGGATCCGCCATTGATTCGGAAGGAGATTCATAATCGGGTGGGGGTGAGTGAGTGCAAGGAGAGGCGGTTCGCGCCGTTTAATGAGGTTTGGGTGAGGTTGGAGTGTGGGGAGGTTGGGGGGAGGCATCCTTTTGCGGAGTACTTGAGGCCGCCGCCGCATGTGCAGGGGCACGGGCAGGGTCATGGGCCGTTGAGGAATGTGACGATGGGGAGGGTTGGGAGTGTTGGTGGGGTGTCGCATTCGCGGCCGTTGGAGAAGCCGAAGAAGAGGTGGTCGAAGGTGAATTTGCCGGAGCCGGTTGGGCGGAAGTGGGAGAGTTGAGTTCCTGGGTATATACTACTGCTTGACGCAGTGATATGATGGTTTTATGTATATTAGATATGATGACTTGTTACGGATGCGATGTTCATGATTGTTTGACTTCAAACAGATATACGCTGATAGCTTGGATGGAAAATAGCATGACCGTAAAATAGGATATCCAAATTTCTCATGATACACACGCTGACATCTCATCACAGTATACAGTCTGTAGGATTCAGTTATGGTAGAAATTGTAAAGTAGCAAGAAAAACATAGCACGAGCAGCAGGTGCTGGGGAATCATGATACAAAAGGAATATGAACCAAAAGATCCCAAATATCAAAAGTCACGAAGTATAAATGACCAAGCAATCAGGAAAAAGCAGATGAAGACAAAGGAAATGAGAAAGTGAGCATTATTTATAACCTTCCAGCCCTTGTAGTCTTATCATAGAAATCCAATGTCATCGCCGCGAGGAAGCAAGGAATATCCTTCCTTTCCTCAACCCAGAACTTGATGAGCGGCTTAATCTCCATGGCGAAGAGACTATTAGGACCACCCGAGATCTTCATCGTCCCGTTCTCTCCGTCGAAGATAATCGAGTTCTCCTCACCACTGCCCATACTTCCAGGTCCGCTGGAGTCCGATGCCCCTGTGTCACCGTGTCGGTACGCAGGCGAGAGATGGAACATGGACGTAACGCGTACCCGCCCGTTGGGCAGGAAATCCAGCTTATAGCCCAGCAGAGAGGCAACTGCTTCGCGGAACTCGGACGACTTGGCCGTCCAGATTTCTTTCAGACGACGCATGCGTTTCTCCTTGTCGGCTACTGAGCGTTCCATGTCTTGGATGTCGAGTTTCATGCTTTCGAGGGTGGTCGCAGGGACGACTTTGACATTGAAAGAATTGCCGCGGACCTGGGCGAGGAGATCGCGATTTTCGGCTTTGAGGGTGGTGAGGGTGGAGAGCTTGATGTTCTCAGCCTGTGCAGTGGGGTTATCGCGGAATTCGAGGACTCGGGTGCGAGATTTGGCCTGAAGGTGTTTGAGGTGGGATTTGGCGGCTTTGAGCTCTTGATGGAGGAGCTTGGCGCCTTGTTCGGACTTGGATAGCGATTCTTGCAGGCTCCTGTTCTTGCGGGATAGCACGGAAAGACGCTCGTTTTCTGCGTCACTCTCAGCGGGCGAAAGAGGCCGTTTGACTCCCCGGGGCTGCGATTCCTCTGGCCGAGGAGCTTCCTGCTTAGAAAGCTCTTCATGAGCCTTTTGCAGTTCTCCTCGATACTCGTCAATGATCTTCTCCAGGTGTGCAATTTGCTCCGACTTCTGTTCGTCGAATCGGTTCTCCTCGTTCATCGTAATCTCTTCCGTGTCGAAAGTCTTCAACTGCTCACGAAGATATTCGATCTCCTTGACGGCAAGGGCGCGCTGCCGTTCGAGTCTTGCCTTGAGCCGACTGTCTGCCATGGAGTTTCCGGCGCCACCGGCAGATTGAACCTTGGCCAGTTCTTGTCGCAAGTTTGTCTTTTCCGTTTCAAGCGCTGTGATCATTTCATCCTTCTCCAAGAATTGTGCCTCGATAGTTCCCAACTTGTCCACAAAGGTCGCTTTCTCGATGCGCTCTTGCAGCAAAGCCTTCACAACCGCGTCCGGAGAGTCCAATTCGGCTGGCTCGTCATTGTCCTGTAGCAGGCTGGTCCACGACTTCCGTTCATCTTCCAGCATCTGCTTCTGGATCTGAACGGTACCCAGTTCCGACTCAACTTCCTTCATCAGCTGAAGTTGGTTTTCCAGCGACTTCCTTTGTTCCTCCACAACCTCAACATTCTTTTGTATCTTGCGTAGATGCCGTAACTCCGCCGTTTGTTCCCGATTTGTAGTTTCGAGGTTCCTGATATGGTTGACTTGATCGGAAAGTTCTCTTTTGAGAACGGCCAGTGTCTCCGCATCGCTCCCCTCCGCTTTAAGATGGATGTTCTCCGTTTCCAGCTCTGCGACATTGGCCTCCTGTTCAGATAGCCGCCCTTGGGCTCCATGGAGATCATGTTTCACGCTTTCGACTTCAGATTGGAGGGCCTCGATGGTTTGTTGGAGGGATGAACGGACGGCTTCTAATTCGTTGATTTGGTATTTGTACTGTCGTTCCTGGTCTGATTGTTGTGCCTGAGCGTCGCTGATCTCTTCCTGCAGGTTTTGATTTTGATCTTGAGCGGTTCTCAATTTCCGTTCGAGTCCGACTTTCTCGTTGAGCGCGTTGTCCTGGACATCCTTGAGCTCCTTGGCGAGGGTCTCGCTCTTGTGGTTCGCACGATGACTAGCTGATTCGGCGGCCTATTCAAAAGCAAACAGTCAGAACCCTTCCTACCCTGTATCATGGGACCACAAACAAACCTGAGCCTTCCGGAAATCCGCATCCGCTTTCAGTTGTAAGTCTCGAAGCTCCTTCTCGTGACGTAGTTCCGTCACATCACGCTCCTGTTTGATGTTTTCCAATTCATATCGTAAAGTGCTAACCTGCACGCGAAGTTCTTCCTTCTCGGTATCTGCACGTGTATTTTGTCAGTCTTCCAAGAAGACCCTTCAATCGTATAGTCGTTCTTACCAGGACCAGGCTTCTGAGGCTGCGGTGGACGGACAGATTGTCGCAAGGACTGGCGGGCTCTCGGAATTGGTAACGGGGAAAATCCTTCGGCGAGCGAGCTAACGGACAATCGCCTCTCCCTATCTGGCTCCATCTGGAGATGGTTAGACTTCTTTCAAACTCCGCAACCTGCGTAGTGATCAAATCAAAATACTAGCCTTGATACCAAGACGCGGGCCCAACGTTGCCGGCACAATATAATTAAAAAGGAATAAGCGATTCAATCCGGCATATCACGACCCTCCCAGAGAGTCCTCTCCAGTAGGTCAAATAACACAGAAACGCGGTCGAGTTGCCTTGAAAGTCGTCCTTTGCTTGTTTTCCGCTGCGACGCCCGATTGGGAGAAGCGCTGAGTCAGCCGCACCGCAAGCTCGCATACCAAAAACGGACTAGCGCCGGCGGTCTGCGATTTTTTTTCTTTCTTTTCTCTTTTCAGATTCTGGACAGACGACCACCAACCACAACTCACCCCCAATTTTTAAACCCCGACTCAAGCACATCGTCGCAATGGCAAAGGACCGGACTGAGAAGAAGGAGAAGCGCGAAAAGAAGGAGAAGCGCTCGGAGAAGGACGGAGTCAAGAAGGAGAAGAAGGAAAAGAAGGAGAAGAAGGACAAGACTGCTCTTACCAATGCTGTTGAGCAAGAGTTGACGTCCCAGGTTGTGGATGGAATTGACCAGGCTGAGAAGACCAATGGCGACGTTGAGGTCGAGGTTGAGCAGATGGAGGTCGACGGCGCTCGTCCCATCGGTGCTCTCGTGCCGTTTGCCAACCCTCTGGTCGAGGACAAGTCGGCCAAGAAGGTCTTGAAGAGTGTTAAGAAGGGTAAGTTTGAGTGCTCTTTTACATCCTTATTTGAACTGCGGATCCATTCGATGTTTATCTGGTCCGGTTCGATTGGCGCGCGGCCGGAGTTGAGTCTGGAATCGAGTTTCAATTAAAAGTCGAGATATACACATGATACTAATATATATTTCTCTCAATAGCCGCTGTCAACAAGTGCCTCAAGCGCGGTGTCAAGGAAGTCGTCAAGGCCCTCCGGAAATCGCCCATCCCCGCTCCCAACGAGTCTTCGCCTCTCCCCAATGGTGTTGTCGTGCTTGCTGGAGACATCTCGCCCATGGACGTCATCTCGCACATTCCCCTCCTTTGCGAAGACCACGGTATTCCCTACGTTTTCGTCACATCGCGCGCTGAGCTCGGTAACTCTGCCGCTACCAAGCGCCCCACGAGTGTGATCATGGTTGTGCCCAAGTCGGCCGCCAAGGGCAAAAAGGGCGAGGACGACGATGGGGAGGATTTCAGCCAGACATACGAAGAGCTGGCTAAGCTTGCGCAAAAAGAAGCCAAGAAGGCGAATGTCTAATTACGTGCTTTTCCTCTTAACTTCTGTTTCTTTATGTTCTTTTCCTTTTTCTCTCCGGAGTCTTTTCTGCTCTGTCTTGTCACTTGCTATTGATGTACAGATTTATGATGTTTGACAAGGCAAGGCATGTCTTTGGGGTCTGTCCTGGGTTTCTGTTTATTGATCTGCCACTTGCAAGTTAGGCGTTTTCATCTTGGTGTATGAAGGGCAGGGACAAAATCAATTCAATCTGATGACATTAATCGGTCCTCTTTGCTTGTACAGCACCCAATACCACCATGTAAAAAATGTATATTCAAAGGCTACGCTGGTTTAATCTGCCTGTTCCAATGGGCGTACCAACGCATCCCTTCTGTCCAGCGTCAACCCAACCCCCAAACACACCACCACAACCCCAATCTGCTCCAACACCACCATCACCAACATGATAGTCACATTCCCCGTAAACATATTGAAATCCCTCCTCTGTCCAAAAACAGACAAGTAGGAATACACAAGACGGATCAGAATCAAAGGCATCGAGACACCAACAGCAAACAGCAGACGGTGTTCGCCAGCCTCAATGCTGGAGAAACGTGCGCCAACGAGGAGGAGCAGGATACCGAGCCCCAACCACGCAACCAGGAACAGGACCAGACTGGCTTTAGTCTCGGGGTTGGACATGTTGTGCATGATATCGGTGGCGTGGGTGCTTCCGATAATGCTAAGGATAATGGCAATGATGGTGATAGTCCCTGTTGCTTTGAAGACGAGTGGGTGGAGTGATTGGTCGGTTGTGCGTTTGATAGAGTCGTTGCTGTTGCTGTCAGTCAGTTTTGGTGCGTTGAAATGGAAGGTGGTGGGTGTGTCTTACGCTCTAGATAGCATGCTGATACAGGCTTGGATCAAGGGTGAGAGCCCGATGGAGCTGCACACGGCCCAGGTGATGTAGAGGTTCTCGGAGGTTGGGTTGCTGATTGTCGCAAGGTAGCAGCATGATCCGATCACTTGGATGAGGGAGAAGATGGCGAAGAAGATCCAGCCGGCGCTCCTGGTGAAGCCATGGTGAAATGCCAGCCACAAGGCGATGAAGAGGGTGGGGATGTAGACGAGGAGGTCGAGGATGGAGAGGCCATGGCGATAGTCGACGGACATAGTATTGCAGGGAGGTCAAAGTACAGGCATGTAGAGCACAGAATACATACCACATCAGGCGCACATTGCGTCTATTTATACTTTAGCAGCTGGAGAGGAACAGTACAAGCTGCGAAACTGCGTGAGACTGAGGGAAGCCCTACTGATTCCCTATTTGGGGAGTAGAGCGAACAGCCAATCAGAGGTCGCCGTTGTTCGCTCTGTAGACCCGATACGGTTAGCGCGAGGCTCAACCTTGAAGCCTATTGAGGGTACTGTTTGAAGTTTGAACCACTGCACTGCCTCATCTTCCCGACTTGGATGTGAGTCAATAATTATAGGCCATACAAGGAGATAGGGACTTTGAATATGTGTGTTTTTCTTCTATAGTTGGCTGCTGGTCTCGGTCCGATTATTAACATATCTGGAATGGGTGAGTCTCCTCATCTCACCACCAGTGTGCCAGCTAACTCGTCTCTAGTCTACTGTGGACCGCCGTCTAAGGCCTGTAGAGCTTGCCGACAGCGGAAGATTGGAGTGGGCCATCCACATATTCCTATTCCATTCAAAATACTGACACTTTACTCCGTAGTGTGACCAAAACCCACGTGGCTGTCGTCAGTGTGCAAGGGCCCGACGGCCTTGTCCGGGGTACAGAGACTATGTCGATCTGCTGTTTAAAGACCAGGGCCACTGGGTGCGAAAGAAAGTCGGCGCACCCAGCCAGAGACAGCCACCCAGCCAGAGAAAGCCTCCCCCAGAAGAAAGGCGTTGCCCACCAGCGACTGCAAATGATGAAACCACCTCATTAATTCCAACGGGCCAAGTCCATCCCCAACCTTCTATACTTGTGACGGCTGCTCCACCGCAGGATTATATTCCAACCGTACCGCACTTCATCCCACCCTTAACGCCATCCATTGTACCAGACCTGCGTGATCTTGGAATCGCCGTCTTTTTCCAGCAACATACGCAACTGCGCCCGTTGCAAGAATACAGCGATCCGAACCCCATGTTCCTCGACTTTGCGGGCACCATCTTCCACACCAGTAACAACCAGATGATTTCTGCCTGTATCAAGGCAGTCGGCCTGGCCAGTCTAGCCAACATCCGATCTGAAAAGCAGATGCTAACACAAGCGAGAAAGGAATACGTCGAGAGCCTAAGATTAGTCAACAACGCACTCAGAGTGCCATCTGAGGCTGTGCAAGACTCGACCCTGCTCGGAGTGATGCTGCTGAACTTCTTCGAGCAAATCACATGCGTCAACGGCCAGTTTCTGCATGTCTGGACACAGCATGTAAACGGAGCGGCTCTGTTGGTGAAACTGAGAGGAACGCGCCAGTTTACCTACAAGGTCGGGCTGCAAATGTTCCAGCACATTTGCCAGAATCTCACGACAAACTGCATTCAGACTGGGCTCCCTGTTCCTCAGCATATTATCGAACTCCGGGAGCAATGTGCCCAGTATATCGACACCAAGTCGCCGATATGGCACATCGGAGACACAGTGATCAAACTCACCTTACTGCGATCAAGAGTCGCCAATAGCTCGAATAACGATAGCGACATGGATCAGATCCTGCAGGACGCCCTGGATCTCGACCTCGAGTTCAAGACCATCTCCATCCGTCTCTCAGCCGAGATGCCCTACCACACCTGCGTCGATTCCTCAGAACCCCGATTCCACAAAGGAATCTACCACATCTACCCCAGCGTCTGGACCCTATACGCATGGAATAACCTCCGCAGCGGCCGCTGCCTCCTCCACCAGCTCATCCGATCGCAAATGCTAAAGGGCTTTAGCGCCATCCCTCCCCGATTCCTATCACCCGCTCGCATCTCCATTTTCCAAGAGTCCCTCGAGACCCTCCTACAGATGATAAACGACATCCTATGCAGCGCTGCGCAGCTAATCGGCTGGACAGCAACACCGAACCCAGCGCCCGAAAAGGAGCCAATTACAGCCGGCGCAAGGCTCCTCATCTGGCCGTTCTATGTCGTCATCCACATATGCACTAGTATGGGGCTCTTTGCGACCTTTCCTGGGATTGACAAATATATGATGAATGTTCTGGCGGAGGTCGGTCGGCAGACTGGGATTTTGGCAGCCACCTTCTTGTCCTCGTTGTTGGAGGACAGGGAGCTGTTGCGGTATTTGCCAAAACTCAAGCAGAAGGGGTTTCGGATGGTGGAGGGCTGATCAGGGTCGTGTATATATATGGGGGTTATAGCATACGAAATGGGAGGAGTCCGGAGTTGTTGTATTTGCATGCATGTGAGAACGGCTTCTTCGGGTGAACCAAGGGACTCACTATAAATCTCAAACGACAGAGGATTAACCATAAACGACGCCCTTGCTAGCTCCATGCTTAAATGAGACGGTCTCTTGGCTAGATCCATCCTTGGTGATCATTTGGCGTTTGTAGCCGGTCAAGTGACCAGGCAAAATATACCTCCGGATCTCTCTAAAATGCGGTCATTGTACAGCCTAATAGATATCATGAGCCGTTTTCTTTCCCGATTTCCCTTGACCAGATTTATTTATGTAGTGATGTATCATCGCGCGAGTGGCCTTTGCCGTGCGGAACATGTTACCCGATTGGGAACAGTAGATAACCGCATCATCCGGATTGTACATCGCCTTGTACAGGATACACAACTTACTACTACAGAAAGGCCTGCAAAGGTATGCCAACACGGGAATTCAACCGTTAGACTTGATCATCATGATGCGCCCGAGATCGAAGTTTGTGAATGAAGTTTCCTCCGACAGGAACAGGTAAAGACGGCGAGCAACCATGGAACGATCAGAGCCAAGTCTCGATCTACTAGCTACTACTGTACGGATATGCAGCCGAGCCAAAAGGATGTTTTATTAGCACATAGGTGTACGGGAATAAGCTTCGGATAGGCGCACTGCATAGTGGAGGATATCGGCATCATGATCTTGACATGATTTGGAATCCATTCTCACGCAATTCTATGCGATTATCCGTCTACTGCATACTATCAAATCTGTTCTAGCTTGATATCAGCATTCCAAAAAGGAACAGCAACCCGAAAGACCGCCGCCGGGTTGCCGAATATCAGATACCGATATGCCATGCCGTGCGGCTTGCCGGGGTTGATCGACATGTCCGCTTATTGGTTGTCGGTGCCCGGTTACCCGGTTAGGAACATTCTGAATCCACTTCCTTGTTCTGTCTCGATCTTGTTTTGTTGCCAGAGCATTACAGAATATGAGTTCAGCTTGTGAGAAAGAGAGGGAACGTAGAGACACAGTAATGCTCTCTGTCAGAACTTTCCGGATATACTACGGAGTACTTGATGTCGACTGACATTGATTGACAACAGGGATGAAGAGTTCTAGAAAACAGCCACCGCTACGCAACTACGCACATCTCTCCACTTACGTGCTCTTGATCAATCAAATGGCACCATTGACTGGCTGCCTATCGTCAATTGTGCAGGAGCAGATCCGAACTTCCACCATTTCGGGTTAATCGGCACCAGGCTAAACTTTGAACACTGAGGGGGTGGGGGTGGGGACATAGTCACTACTATGCACCAAGTTCAAGACATAGTGGACGAGAACCTCTGTATACGCAACGAGACCCGTTACACCCGAAGACAGAGAGGTATATAAAGGCATCCCGTTGTCCCTCATTTTGATTTCCTTTGGTTCGCATCATCTCAAACTTTTCTTATTCTCCACTCTTCATCTTCTATTCGAACTCCCTGGCAACATCCTCGTCTCTTATAATCGACAAACCCGCTGCAATAGCTAATGGCCGTGACTCGCCCCGGAAATGTAGGCAAGAGGCTCTTGCCTCATGTCATCGACCATCTGGGTCAGTTCTACCCAGACAAGATCGCCGGTTCCATGCCCAACAACAATTCGACTTTGGACGATGGCTTCCGGCAATTGAACTACAAGGACCTCGCCCATGCAATCAATTGTACTGCCTGGTGGATTGAGGAGAACTATGGCCGCAGTGACAAATACGATACTTTGACCTTCATCGGTGCCAACGATATTCGATACCTGGTTATGATCACGGCCTGCAACAAGACTGGCTACAGGGTGAGTTCTGACCATGGGAAAAGAGATAAGATGGAGCAGATGCTAATGTATGGCAGCCGCTACTCTCATCGACCCGGAACTCGGACGAAGCAAACATGAGCCTCTTCGACGCTACCGACTGCTCACGTTTAGTATGCACTGCCGAGAGAAGCCAGAAAGCGTTGGAACTCCAGAACCTTCGTCCCGGCCTGGATGTGAAGGAGCTTCCTACCTTTGCCGAGATGCTCGAATCGCAGACCTCCTTCTACCCATTCTCCAAGACGTACGAAGAAATCGAGAACGACACCGCTTTTATCATCCACAGCTCTGGTACAACAGGTAGGAAACCAAATTCTCCTTTTCATTGACCTCTCGACACATACTAACTACAAATAGGACTACCCAAACCGGTATACCTCACCTTCGGCTTCATCGGTGCTCTCGAGCAGATCCCAAGCCTGCCTGTTCCCTCAGGACGGGTTTGGGGAATGCCCTACATCCTCGAACCTGGCAACATCATCACCACCACGCCGTTCTTTCATCTCATGGGTCTTACTATCTTCTTGCTATCTGCCTTCCATGACATCCCATTCCTTCTTGCTCCCGACAAGCCCATGTCAGCCGAACTTGCGACAGATATACTGAACGTGGCCAAACCCACGGCCGCGATGTTCCCACCCTCCATTCTGGAGGATATGACCAAGTCTCCTGCCTCGATGGAAGCACTCTCTAACCTGCGCTATGTCTTCTTTGCCGGTGCGCCTCTGTCGCCGGAAGCAGGAAACCATATCATTGGACACACCCGCTTGGTCAACTGGATCGGAAGCAGTGAGTCTGGCTTCATGCCTACTCTGCTCCCCGAGCATGAGGAGGACTGGACGTATTTCGAATGGAATCCATCCTACGGCCTCGAAATGCAGCCGACAGGCGAAGGCATCTATGAGCTAGTGATCCCCAGACCCGCGAATATCAAAAAGCATGCCATCTTCCACACTTACCCCGATTCGACTGGCTATCACACCAAGGATCTCTTTGCGCCACACCCAACGCGGCCCGGTTTGTGGAAGTACATTGGTCGTAATGATGATGTGCTTGTGCTTAGCAATGGAGAGAAGCTCAATCCGATCACCATGGAGAAAATCATCGAAGGACACCATTTGGTCTCGCGTGCTCTAGTCATTGGTCAAGGCCGGTTCCAGACTGCATTGCTCGTCGAGCCTAACTGGCATCTCTGGAGCGAGGACAAGCCGGTCAATGGACTCATCGAGAGCATCTGGCCCACGGTGCAGAAAGCTAACCAGGCCGGACCGGCTCATGGGCGGATTATGAAGAGCAAAATCGGTGTTGCCTTCCAAAGCAAACCGTTCGGGATCACACCCAAGGGCAGCACCAGGCGCCGGCAAACCATGCAGAACTATGCTGAGGAGATCGATGCCATTTACAACAGCGAGGATAGTGAGGGAGCTGACTTTGAGCTGCCCAAGGACGCTGATCTATCGACCGTCACGGCGTACTTGCGGAGCATTGTCTCGCATGTTCTCGACTCCTCGGATCTGTCTGACCAAACCGACTTCTATGCGGCTGGTCTCGACTCGCTGCAGACTATGCAACTCAGCAATGTCCTTCGCAAGGCTCTGCAGTCTCACCAGTCCCCAGATAGCTCCCGGTCCATCTCGTCGCAGGACATCTATGCAAACCCCACCATCGAGCTTCTCGCCCGTCTCGTCTATGGACTGATGCGTGGATCCGTTGAGGGTGGCGTGTCCCGGACTGAGAAAATCAGCTCGCTTCTCGAGAAGTACACCAACGATCTTCCAGTACAGACACAGGATGCGCACAACACGAGTGACAAGCACAGAGTCATCCTCACCGGATCGACCGGCTCCCTGGGCAACTACATCCTCAGCGCCCTCCTACAGGACCCGACAATTGCCAAGGTGTACTGCCTTAACCGGTCCGAAGCTAAGGAACGACAGATCAAGAGCTTCGAAGAGAAAGGCCTGACTTTCGGTCCCGACCCCCAGAACAGAGTCGAGTTCCTCCAAGCATCGTTCGGCGCAGAGCAATTCGGCCTGCCTGCCGACAAATATACCGAGATGCTGCAAAGCGTCGACACCATCATCCACAACGCCTGGCGCGTCGACTTCAACATCACCGTCGACTCCTACGAAGACGTGCACATCCGCTCCGTCCGCCGCTTCGTCGACTTCTCCCTGCAAAGCACCCACCACACACACATCCACTTCGTCTCTTCCGTGGCCACCATCGGCGCCTGGAAGGCTTCTAACGGCCCTGCTGTCCCCTCCGCCCCCATCGAGAACACCGACGTCGTCCTCCCCCAGGGCTATGGTGAGTCCAAGCATATTGGCGAGCGGATCTGTCTCGAAGCCTCCCGCCGCTCTGGCGTACCCACCACCGTCCACCGCGTGGGCCAGATCGCCGGTCCAACGAGCGAGAAGGGTCTCTGGTCCCGCCAGGAATGGGTTCCCACTATCGTCGCAACCTCCAAATCGCTGGGCAAAGTCCCCGACGCACTGGGCTCGACACCCGTCGACTGGATCCCTGTTGACTCGCTCGCATCCATCATGCTGGACCTGATCACTACCCGTCGCGAAACCCAGTCGCACAACGGTTCCCGCTGCGCGGTCTTCAACCTCGTCAACCCCACCATTACAACCTGGGACACTCTTCTCCCCGCCATTCAAGCCGTGTACCCCGTGCAGGTTGTCCCGATTGCGGAGTGGATTAATGAGCTCGAGAAAATCGAGAACCCGACTGCGGAGCAAATCCAGGAGAAGCCTGCGCTTAAACTGCTCGATTTCTACCGCGCGCTGGCGGATGGTGAAGAGGGTGCGTTGTCGGTGCCGATTGATGTCGCGGCGACGAAGGAGGCGAGTAAGACGATGAACTCGTTGGGTGCTATCTCAGGAGCGTTGATGGGTAATTGGGTGGCGCAGTGGAGGTTTTAGGTGACTGTGTTGGATTGCATTGCATTTTGGGTGTCGCTATGCATGGTTAGAGTTGATTGATTGGTATTTTTGGGCATTCACTGCATTGGCGAGCATTTGCATAATAGACATATATAAATTTTTTAGCATAGAGGAGTTTTGAATACATTGATTCGATATTATATTCATTTTTTACATATCCTTAATCCTTCGTGCCAACAGAACCCTTCCTTCTTCATACTATCTACCATAATTGCTTCCATCCATCCATCAGCCTATTTCCTATCCTCTTGATTAATTTTCAAAAGAAAAACCGTTCAAGGAAGCTAGAGCAAGCTATACCAGGACGATAGATTTGGTTAGCAGAAAATTTGACGACTCGACCAAGAGCTGTTAGAGCCTGCTCACGAGTTCGGAGGAGGTCGGCGATTGGGCTAAGCGGCACCTTGGACAAACAACATATCTTCTCTTCTCAGAAATCTCGCGTTACAATGCCCAGGTTCCACGAAGACCATTCGTATACCTGCAATGTACTTTCGCGTATCTCTGAAAAAGGTACAAAATCCCCTTGTCCAGCCTACCCTCGGGAGCGACAACCGCGCCCTCAGCTAGAGGGGCAACAAACACTGGGCTTGCTTTGACAGTTATTTTTGCTGGTGTCTCGAATTTATATATTCTCCAGTTCCAATTCTATTGGCACGGGTTAGAATTAGTCAACCAATCACTATAACTAGAGGGAGACGCTGGGGAGAGGGGGGAACGGGAACAGTACCGCGGGATATAACCCTAACTCGGAAAAAAATTGGAACATTTTGGTATTCAGGTCATGGCTGTAATAGGATTTTCCCATGCCTTGGAACCAGAACCTTTCCCAGGCGGCATGCTGGATGAGCTCGTTCATCTCGTCCAGGATAATAGTCGAGTTCAAGGGCATTAAATACATCTTGTGGTAGTGAGAATCTCTTGCAAATATTCCATAAAGTAATTGATGTTCTTGGATTATTATCTTTGGATGGGAGCAGAAGATGTTTATATGTTCAATGACAGGCACATGATATTAAATTGAGCAAGTGACAATTGTTTTGCAAGTATGTAGAAGATCTCTAAATGACTGGTCCTAGGGATAACCGTGTAACCTTCCCCTGTTGTTTGTCATAAACCTAGGTATCGTGCCAGGTTCTCTGACCCAATCATGTATGATCTGTACTATTGGCAATGGTCTGGACCAGAAGCTCGACAGATTTCTGGACAACAAGAGAATAGACCCCTGTCATTAAATTGCCTCTTTGACCGCGTCTATCCCGAGAAGAGGAGTATTCAGGGCTGTTAGGTCAACGTGATTCAACGCAGGAAGCCGGGCTTTTGAAACCACCTAATTCCATGTTTCTGTCTTCACCTATCACAGAATTTGCTCTGAACTTACTGGTGCTAATCTAAAATTGGCTGGGATATGAATATTGCTTGGTATCTAGCACTCGTTGACGGCATCCGAGAGGCGGATTTGATTGGCAACATGGATAACAGGGGACTTCAGCTTCCAAGGTGAACTGATCATTTGATGGAATATTAACGATCCAAGAGCAGGCGGCTATGGCTGGCGCATTCACCAATCAACGGCATTCCCCAGCCATAGGCTTCCTAATAATCACATCCAACTTCAGCCTCTCTGCAGCGGTTAAGCAGAAGAATTATGTTGTTGCGGTGCCTCTACCGTGAAGCCGTCACTTCACCATTGATGATACCAAGCTCAATTACACGCGGCCAGTGCGTCTCCAATAGGTAGAGGATTAAGGGAGGGTTATCGATACAGAATCCTTGAGGATGCTCACCTATTCTGCCAAATTTAGGCAGCTACGGTTCTTTTCTTCAAGCATCGGCACCAAAGGTTATTGCCCGTTCATAGAGCAATAAAACCATGGCCTTGAATTCTGCTGTTGCTATGATTGCAGCAATTACTGAGTAAAATGAGCGGGCTTCCATGAATGCTAAAGGAGTCATTTGGGTGTTGGATATTTTGCTTCATTGTCTTTTCATTCAGTGAATGATATTACAAAGATGCATGCGATAAGTTACACATTAGAATCAATCCCCTATAATTTCTTCAATATATTACAATTTAGCCTGCCCAATGTGCAGTGGAGCGATACGCACATTTGAACTCAGGAATCTATGACTTAGGGCTCCAGGGCAGAGCGCGCTTATGAGCTTGGCAGAGTAAACAATCGCTTTTTTCATCATGATACCCTTTCTACGCCTCTAGCTATGTGTGCGGTCGTAGGTAGGACTTCAAATTTGATCTCTTAAAAGAACTTTCAAAACAGGAACTCTTCGATACAAAATCTTGACTTTCTCGAACAAGAGTATCCCGCCTGCTTGACGACCTTGCTTTGACAGATACTGCAAAGTATGAATAACCGTCATATTAACGGCAAAAAATAACCGGCGTATCTGGAGGCATAATTGGCTCATCGGGGATCCAGGTGTAAGCATCATCTTCCAATCTACCCCTAGGAGTCAGGATTGTGTTCTCATGTAAAGGGATGACAATCATCCAACTCCTTTCGTTAATAACCCTTTTGGGCACAGGGAACTTGCCAACAGTCCAGGTCAGCTTTTGTTTACAATCAGTCATTTGGTTAGCCCAGTAGTTCCAAAAGGTGCTTAAAAGGGGGGTCAGAACCGTTTCCTGTACTATGCCATCTCCCAGCTCGCACAGCTTCTTGGTCAATTCGTCGCTAGAGTAGTTTATTTCGTGTGTGTTGCGATCCCATGAAGTGCCAGCCCGAGGTAATAGCGCCTTAATCTCTTCTCGGAGATTTCGTTCCTTTTCGCTAAGCCGTGTTGAAATCCACTCTCTTCGTGGTGGTATGGGACTCTGGACCAGGATCTTAGGTCTCAAGAAAATCATTGGCACATCTGAACTGAAATCCCAGCGATCATCGACAACTGCTGCAAAGCCCTTGTACAATTTACCTCCAGTCGAAAGAGTTACACCCTCAGCCAAGGGAATGACAACTAACCAATCTCCTTCATGCCTGGGGGAGAGATTCATTGATCGGGTGAATTTATAGACGTTCCACTCAAAATCTTGTTCCTATTGGCACGGAATTTTAATTAGTAAATGGTTAGAAAGCGAGGGCTTCGGGATTGGAACCTTGGGAATTTCATCCAACAGCCTGATCAACTTGGTCACTCGACGCGCCAACCACGAGCCTGCGCACAATATTGTGCTCTCTGTCCATAGTGTCCAATTACTGGCATCTGGTAGGAAGTCTTCGGCGATTCCATCCACCACGAAGCGGGCTTCTGTGGTCAGCGGCACGATAAGCTTTTTTTTTTTTTTTTTTTTTTTTGATCATGGAAAATTCGGTACAAGAAAGGTTACTTGTAAGTACTCGATTAATATTTTGAAAGCATCGCCTTTGCAATCGAGCAGGAAGGGCTTAAAAGTAGCCAACGAGAGGCACGTGAGATCTGGATGGATGGAGTTTATATCCTGGTAGTGTATTGAAGAATCCTAAGAAGTCAGTTCTAGAGATAGCCCGTGTAACTTCTGCATAGCATCTCCATGATATTTGTGAGTTGTTTGCTATGGATCTTCAGGTACTAGGTACTAAAAAAAAATAGAATTTTTGGCGGTCTGTCTGTGCTTCGTAATTGGACATGACCTGGTCCATAATCCCAGCAACTTTCTAGACCATAAGAGAATCAACTACAATTACTAGTTCGCGTCTATATCTGGAAGTTCCACCTGCATCTGCTTTGCGCGAAAAAAGGGAGCTTCCTTTTCTTCTATCTTCTTCGATGCAGGGATTCTGGGACAACGTAGTTCAATGCGGGCAATGGGCGTAATTTTGAAATGGTCGACTCTGTGAGAATGCCTCGACCTATCAATATAGCTCATCTATCCAGTCTCTGTACGTATTGTTTAATCCCTGTAAGTACCGGCGCTTGACTGGCAGGGATGTAAATCTTGATTGCTCGTTGGAGGATACGTAGCGCTTTCTACATGCATCTGGGAGGCCGCGGCGTGGCCTGGGCTCTGTCGATAACCGTTGCCCATAATATCAATGATCCTAAAGCAGGAAGCCAATTCGTCTGACAAGGACCGCGTAGTGCAAACCTGTCAATGATTCTGCATCCGATCTCAATTGTGCTCACCTTGTTCTAAGCCCTTGGCTGGTGTCGAGCGCCAGTTCCCCGTCCGGTTTTATTGTAAAACTGAGGAGACTTGCGTCTACTCCCTTCCAGATTTTTATTTACAGGAGCTTTTCTTCGCGTTATGTTGTCAATATTAACAGCGGGAGAATCGTCCAAGAAAAACTGGCAATTTGATGGCGCTCTCGACACCACTTTCTTTTTCCTGGGGGTAGAGTTGATGAGGACTTTTCATCATTCCTCCATGGTGAAACGGTTCTGGCACCAAATGTGCTAGTCATGGTCATTGGACCAGATTTGGATGGCTGATTCTCGAATCTGTATAGATGGAGACAAGAAGAAAACTCTTCACTAATTGGATTTACACCAGTACAAGAACGTATCTTGGCGGAACGCATATGGACACATTTGTGTGAAATAGTCAAGGATCCCTTGGTGAATCCTCGCATCATCTTGGGTGCTCGGAAAATCAGTCTGGGCACTACCACCGGAATCCAAGATATCGTTTGTTTCCGGTTCCGATTGACCAGTCAAGCTGTTTGCGGGAGGCTCCGTGGAAGATCGATTTGACATCTGTGGAAGAGCCGAAAAAAAAAAAACTTTGGAGACTGCGGTTGGTCAAGTGAGGACCGAGTGACATCTCGGCACTTTCTCGGGCCTCTTGGCGAGAGCCCTTGGTTCCTCTTTTGGCCTCGAGCTACTTGTGGAGACTAGGCCGGCTCAGTGCCATGGCTTCGAGCTTTGTATTCATTGCGAATCGCTTTGTAGACACGATTCAGCTCGTCCCGGTCGCCAAGTTTGAATGTTTTTTCATACGCATTGGTAGCTTCGACCTCGATATCCTCTAGGCGCCCTTTGTCGAGCCTACATGCAAGTTAGCTCTGGATATCGGACTGGGGCCATGCATTCCATACTTTTTGGCATTCGTTGACGGCAACCCCAGAATAACCTCCGTGTTCTGGATCCGAAGCCACGACTTACCATACCAGGCCGCATGAGTGAACTTCTTCTTTTTCTTCTCCAGCTCTTCATCAGCGAGGCTAGGATACTCCCTGCTAATAATGTTCCATGCGGCTTGGAAGCGAAGCTGAGCAGAATTTCTGGTCTTCGATACTTGTTGAATACGCTGGATTTCCTCTTCAACCAGCTCCGCTAGAAGAACCAGGATAACCCTTCGATGAATAGGATTAGACTCCATCCTATCCGCCGCCTGCTGTCCAGCAAGCACCGCTTGACAAAGCTGTCACAGGTAGCTATGATCCCCCAGAATTCAGCCGGATTTGCAGCCCATGTGCGAATGTTGTTGGTAAAGGCGCGACTGTCGTCATCACTCAGTTCCCAGGCTTGGGTTATCCCAGCAAGGTGCTCGACCTGGGCATCGGATAACAATATCCCTTCTAGAGACCAGAACCTAGTCTTGAAGCAATCCCTCGAGTTCTCGACTCGGGTCATGCGTCGCCGTGCTTCAAGGTTTAAGATGTCTCGAAAGCCCCCAATTGACTCTCTGGTTGACAGAACTGCTTTTAGCGAGCCAGCGGTCTCCTTAATCCTGGTTCGCTCAGTCGTAACTCGAGAGTTTATGAAAACATACCTCATCACTAGCGCTGTGTAAGAGATGCTCCAGTTCCTAAATTTTCGTAATGATTGGGCCATTGAGTTCGGCCCGGTCCCAATCTCTCAATTAGTTGACAGTGTCACTAACCGGGGATGTTTCATCATTCACCTCTGAGCTGTTGATGTTACCCATATTTGAATATGTTATAGCTCTGTTGCTGAAGAATACCGGAAGGAGAATGATTTTGTTAACTTTGCTAATGACAACGAGAGACCGGACGATAGATATACAAAAATGGCATACAAAGGGGCAAAAAAGTACGAAGAGAAAAGCTCCATGGTGAGCATTCTCTCATGATTAATCTCGCGTTTGAATTGAAATCTAGCATGGATTATGGCTTCCTAGCCTACATCAACTCCCCCTCCCCGGTCCTGCCATGAGAAAGATCGAAGGGAGAGAAGTGCCCAGGTTTAGAATTCCCTGATAAGTCAGCCGGTCTGAATTAGAATCTGGCAGGGATCATGGTTCTCGCTCTCAGCTAGCATCAAATCTGACTATAGCCCTCTTATGGAGAGCTGGTGTTAATGACAGGGATCATTGTGAGAGGTACAGTAGTCGCGTCAACAATAACACATAAAAAACATAACAAACCAACTTTTCGCTGTATATCTGTCCACTGCACTGCCACCAATTGAGAATTACCTTCTACTTCCCTTTACTCAACCCTTACGACAAGTTTCAATGGCTCACCTATCAGATCTGCTCGACCGGCTCCCGTCATGGGCGAAGCGCCTCGTCCCCAGTCCGCGCAACCCCGGCCAGGAGACGAATACCCTGGATGACACCCCCGTGCAAAAACAGGGGCCAAGATGCATCTCACCGGCGCTCTCAGATCATACTCCTGGAATTGTTCTGCTGCCCAGCCCGCCTCCTTCATTCGCTACTTCCAGACCGGTGCCTGGATATCTGGAGCAGCCGTTCTCTGCTAATGAGACGTCGCCGATTACGAGAGACCATACAAAGGCATCTATTGGTAAAGGCTATATGAAAGATCCGCCGGGCTACGCGTGCTGTTTACCAATTAGTCGAAGGTTTGTCTAGACTGCTCTCCTATGAATAACAGTAGAACTAATTCGTGTTATATTTATTAGAACTGCATCTGACCGGACATAAACGCCTCCGTCTTTTCTACGGCCCTTACTTCCGGGCTACCACATCCATTGTTCTACTCATCAAGATGTTTTCCTCCTTCGACATTCTTGACGGCCCCAAGCCCTCCAATTCCGACGTATACGGAATCGAAGTCCGGCGCACTTCAACCGAACAATGCGCAAACCACCTTTTCCTTGCGTTCCAACATCTGGGTGGCAGCTATACAGTTGCGAGCATCACCAAGAACCGCGACGCTATCGAATGGGTCCAAAATGTCGAACTGAATCCCCCCGAGCTCCTGTGTCCATCCGAATGCACGAAATTCAGCGTCAGATATCAATGCGCTGGTCTTCAAGATCTTGCCACTAGTATGTATATTTTAGAGAGCCATTTTACAGTTCCAGAGTCGGATCCTTGTCTTTGAGCTCAATGGGTATAAGTACGCTGAAAATGATTGTGGAGCTTGTTAGCCCTAACGCCGTATAGTAATACCGTCATATGGAACTACCGAAGCAGGGATTACATTCCAATATACTGAGATCTGATGGAAATACAGTTCCAATTGTATATAATTCATGTTTCCTTAGCATCCTCAGGTGCTGAGCAGCATTCCTGTACGATCTACTCAGTACTTAGCACGGGGAAAGCTCTCAAGATGTTATTTTTGCTCAGCTCGTGGAAAACAAAGATCTTGCCAGATTCAAGTTACCAGAATAGTTATTTTAGACGTGTTAGTATCGATATCATCACTCCGTGTCAGAAAGGTTGCTCCGATGTTATAGCAAACACAGGGTACGGAATACTGTAATAGGAAGTCATTTTGCCTCAAGTGTCAAGATAAAGTGAGCAATAGCGGTGTGATGAGGACGGCAGAATAAAGGCGGTCGCTTATCAGACTCTCTAAATGAGATACGTCAACAGAGATCCTCTATCGCGACCATGAAGACAATAATGGTCCGAAAACCCTCATCCCTGATTGATCGTGTCGGCGATGCTCGTCTAGAATGCGCTTAACAATCGTGATGAACTCAGAACTGCCGACCGGTAAATGGACCTGTCGGCCGATGACAGTCTCGAGAATGCGAACAGACCGTGAAGCAAACAAACTAGCTAATGCCACCCTGCAAGGGGAATCAAGATCGTATGTGATGCGTGTCCAACCAGCGTGTTTCTTTCCTTGCTCAACAGATGATTGCACGGCAATGTCCCGGGTTGGACAATAGTTTCACAGCAAGGGCGAGCCGATCAAGAGTGTCATTGTCCATATATTCAGACAGTTCCTCGGTCCTGTTTCTATCCGGGCTGGATATCTATCAGTCTCAATATGTATTTCTCTGCACTTATCCTTCTTTTGGTCTCGTCGTTGAGCGTCACGGCTGCGCTACCGGTTCCCGGGACCGTCAGAAATGATGAGAATGATCATTCCGTGAATACCCCTTCCGGATGGGGATTCTTCTCCAAAACTAGCATCTGGGCGATGTCTCATGATGGCTCTCGTGGTCCTCTCGTATGGCTTGTTCTCCGGTCTGGATTGTATCGAGAAGTCTCCGTACTGACTCTTTAGGATCATAACCCCGAACCAGGACACCTAGAAACCATCAACATCCCACCGGCAATCGACAACCCATGCCATCATAAAGGCCCTCTACAATGTCCTCCACTGACCCCGAACCCAGTGGCGAGCATCCCACATTGCAGCAACTGCGCCAAACAATCCAACCGATTTCCCGCCAGCCAAGGCACGTTCGATTCGCTATGGAACGTCGAGAGGATTCTGACGCCGGTGGGAATACTGGCTGTAATGGTATGGCTGGGCTTTGTGGCGTTTGGTATTGTTGCTGCTGTGGATTATGCGTGGGTGCGGTGGGGGAGAGGATATAATGGTTATCCAGGCGTTGATGTTGAAGTTGGGGATGATGAGGAGAAAGCAGAAACTAATTGAGTTGTCCTATAGTACAAAATATGAAAGGATTTTTTATTCACTTGATGTCATGTGATCGTCAACGACTTATCTACTTGAAATACAGCTGTTTATCCTTAACTTTCTACTCTCGTTCACACTGCCATCCACTGCATCTACTGCTGACACTATGCCCGACAGAAATCTGTTCAAGGGGCTCCTGAGCTCCGAGGTCACCTGCGACTATCCCAGCCCTTCGACATGGATCATCAAATCCAAGTACTGCGAGAAATATGAGCAGTTCACACAGGATGAGGAGCTAGGTCCGTCCGTCACCATCGCGAAGTTCCTAGTTGAAAACAAAGACAATCCCAACCAACATGCTCTCATGAAAGTGTACATGCAGATGCCCGATCTGGGTACTGAATTCGATCCTCCCGAGGAGAGAGCAGAGCAAGTATCAGATAAATCCGCTGGAGCTACATTCCAAACAGTGCGGGTCCTGAAACTATTTACGGAGAAGAAGAGCACGGTCACGCCTGTTTTGCTGGCATTAGCTAACATTGAAACAACAGATATGTCATCGACTTCAGCGACAATATCCCAATGGGAGAATATCATCCCTGGCGTAACCGGGCCTATCTTCAGTGGAATTTGGCAGAGCTTCCTGGCGTCTCTTGGTACAAGTCTACTTTTGACGACAGAGATATGAGCGGTTGGCAGCTTTGAGCGCTGCATTATGATTGCTGGTTATTGCTCAAGGGAAAGCTCTGCTTGAAGTGGCTTATATAAGACGGCCAGCGCTCTTCACAATATTCAATTCAAGACTCTGTACGTCGACTACGGATATTGGGATGATACAGCTCGTTGCTCGATATATAATGAGGAATGTTTCGGTGCGCTCGGCAGTCCAACCGAACGCCACCAATAATGAATTATGGCTTGATACAATTGGCATAATCACGAAACTCAAATACGCACACCGGAGGGTCGAGCCAACTGGGCCAACCTTTTGTTAGCAATTACATGGGACCGGGCGGTTTAGCAAGCGTCGCCCATGCATTTTCCGAGGGCTCCAGGGTACGAAAGGACACCACTTTTCTACGAGCGCTCGCCCTAATGCCCCTTTGGTTAAGAAATCACCATAACTTTATCCATGACGGAGTTTGGGTGATGACGGCCACTACTGGATGAGCAACGCAGTCATCACACATCGTTTATCGGTTCCTCTGGCCCATTCTATCTCATTCTATCTCATGGATGGGCACACCGATTGCGGTGACCAAACAATTGATTCCAGATTTCAGCAACGTGTGGGACAAGTAGATGGCAGCATCCTTGCATCCCAGAATGTGGACCTCAGATTCGGGGACTTCAAATGTTGCAATTTGTCCATGGGAAGATAGCAAACTTTGCTATATGCGGTAGCAATGACAGATCAAGTTGATGCTGGAGAAGCAAATTTTCTGGGTGGACGCCCATTCTGATTTGAACTATATATTACAGCTGCTGCTGTATTCCAGATGGGCCCAATGGAGAAATTGTTCCTTTCGGCACCCCCTGAAATTGCGCATTTCATTCCATTCGCTTATGCATCTGGGTACTTGACTCTTGTCATTATTTCGACTCATGACGGACACATCCTCGGGAAGTTGTATTCCTTTGCATCCGTAATCTTTCGCGCCTATGCTTACAATCATAATTTAGCCAAGCCCGCGCAGTATATGCGACCTGGATATGACATACGGCGTCATCTCGACTTACAATGAGACCATCTTCCTAAGACAGGTCCACGACGGAACCTGGGTATTGGAATATAGTCCAGTTATTCACCATAGCACCAAAATTGCAGCGAGACCGATCTCCAATGACCGTCCCTTCGTCAATGCCTTTGGTACATTGGGAAGCTTGCATTACCAGGTGCATACTAGTGCATCCACAGACGGTCTTAGATCGGCAGCGATACGCGATTCCGCATATTTGGGCAGTATTGCAGCCTGTCAAGAATTGACATTGCGAGGACAATCCTGACGCGAAGGAACATTATTTTTCTCAGTGATGGGTACGACTTGTATCAGCATCTGAAGATATGACATTCTTAACAGTCTGATCAGCCTATAAGGAAAGAAACCGCGGAGCGTTGAGAAGTGTACGCGTGGTCATTGATTCGGGCGGTCTTCACGGAGTGCCAGCAGCAGTGATAACGGCCCTGCAAACAAGCCAGTAAGACGTGCTGTTGTCAATCTTCATGGCTGCACATCTTCATAACCGAGTGTTATTTACAGGGATCTCGTCCAATAAACCGTGGCTGCTTGCCAGTCCTCACATGTACTCCGACTCCGTAGAATAGATCAATCAACCAGGACCCATCTGACCCTTGATACCCACTCAAATGCCCAGTAACATGCTACAGAGCTCTGGAATTTCGCCACGATCTAGATATAGTACGTATATGCTCGCCGTCGAATGAGCACTGCATAACAGTAAGCGCTTTTCTTTTCTTTTTCTTTTTTTTTTTTTTTTTCTCACACTGATGTCATGTGATATCTTCTCAAATCTGGTTTTCACACGCATCCACTTTTACTGGCAGCCTGCCCCTGGGTATTTAAGGGGAGAAGTTCCTCTTCCGATCGACTGCTACTCTGTATTACTGTATGTACATGGATGAGCAAGTGAGCCTTTTTAGTACCTGGACCCTAGGGCAATTATGTCTCCCTCATACTATGGTTCTATACACGAATGCCCAGCTATCTTAATCTTTTAGCGAAGTGCGCTATTGCTCTTGGCTCTTGGTAAAGTGAACAAGCCCACTTACTTTGCTCTCGGGTATAACCTTGGCAGGACACAGTCAACCCTGACTAACTTGGCACTATGAGGCCATACTCTATGGTATTTGCCAAGGTGAGGCAAAAACCAATGTTCTTTGTTATTCGTTTTAAGCACAATTCTTTGACCTTCGATATGCTCGACTATGCTCATCCAATGTGCATAACTCTTCATAATCAAGTTGGCGAAATGAAGTCATTCGGATGGATCATCGGAGAATCCCATGATGTCACTTGCGCACGTGACCTCACGTGTTACCGATGAAGCCGAATATTTGATTGGCCCAAGTCGGCTTCCCGACGAACACCCGAAAGCCAAGTATGGGACGCGCACATTCCGTGATGTCATGTCGCATAAAACTTTTCACTGCCGATCCATTGTGGGTCTTAGTATGGGTGCTGCTTTGGGAAATCCGGTTTGGTCCAAAATGACGATGGTACGGCTATCTCTTCTAACCGAATGCTGATTCATCACTGGAATACGAACAGTACAAAGTGTCCAGACCTTCTTTTCTTTTCCCCAGACCGTTTAACTTCTCCAACATCTTTTTTTTTTTTTTTTTTTTTGTTCTTTTGCGGTTCTTCAGTTTTGATACCCCACACAAACCTGCACAATGGCTGAAGCCACTCCGCAGGATCCTAGAGTCTCTTCGGATGAAAAGTTAGAGTCGTCGCCTCCCAGCAGTGCTCCCGAGGCTACTGCCAACGAAAATACCGAGAAGGAAAGTGCTCGCTCGGATGGAAAGCGCATACTGAAGGAGGAGGATTGCTACGATGAATTGGCCTATTGTTGGCCTCGGTGGAAGAAATGGATGTACCTGGCTGCCATCGCTGGTGTGCAGATTTCTATGAACTTCAACACTTCCGTCTATCCCAATGCCGTGAAACCCCTTACGAAGGCGTTCGATATTAGTGCGCAACATGCGCGAACAGGGCAGATGATCTATTTGGTGACATACTCAATTGGATGTGAACTGTGGGCGCCGTGGAGTGAGGAATTCGGTCGCTGGCCTATTCTGCAGTTATCGATGTTTTTGATCAACATCTGGCAACTTCCGGCTGCTTTGGCTCCCAATTGGGGTTCGATTGTCGTCGCTCGTGGTCTGGTAAGTTTTGTGTGCTCATGATGACACGACTTGTAACAATGAACTAATTGTGTTCAGGGTGGTATCTCTACCGCTGGTGGTAGTGTCACTCTTGGTCTGATTGCCGACTTGTACGAACCCGATACGCAACAGTTTCCTCTCGCATTTATCGTCTTGTCCTCTTGCATTGGTACCAGTATTGGTGGTGTTATCGGTGGTCCGATCGGGCGCTGTACGTATCTTTCCCCCATATCAACAAATAAAAAGAAATGTGTGCTAACGTGTATAGTCCTCGACTGGCAATGGTTCTTCTGGATCCAGCTCATCTTCGGAGGAGTTGTCCAATTCATCATGTTTTTCATGCCCGAAAGCCGTTCAACCATCATCATGGACAAGATAGCCAAGCAACGTCGCAAGACCGGAGAGGACCCCAACATCTACGGCCCCAACGAGCTGAAAAACCCTCGTGTCTCGCTCCATGAAGCTGGCAAGATTTGGATCCGTCCCTTCTACATGTTCGTGCGCGAGCCCATTGTCCTGTGCATGTCTCTCCTGTCCGGTTTCTCCGACGCTCTGATCTTCACCTTCCTCGAGAGTTTCGCCATCGTCTACGAGCAAGGATGGGGCTGGGGTGTTCTGGGTCAGGCCTGGGCTGTCATCCCCATCAACGTCGCCTACTTCATCGCATACTTCAGCTACTTCCCATGGTTCATGCGCGACGAACACATCCGTCAAACCAAGGGCAACGATGCCATCCCCGCCGAACGCCGTTTGAAATGGCTCCTCTGGCTCGCGCCCCTCGAACCTATCGGCCTGTTCGGTTTCGCCTGGACCTCCTTTGGCAAGGAGCGCAACGTCCACTGGATGGGCTCCATGGTATTCTCCACATGCGTCGGTATCGCCAACTACGCCATTTACCTTTCCTCCGTCGACTACATGGTCGCAGCCTACGGCGTCTACTCCGCCTCCGCGACCGGTGGCAACGCCTTCGCCCGTGACCTGCTCGCCGGTATCAGCGCCATGTACGCAACGCCCATGTACGAGAACATCGGCGACAAATGGCACGTCGAGTACGCGACGACCGTCCTGGCCTGTCTGTCGTGCGTGGTCGTCGCCCCGATCTACGTGTTCTACTGGAAGGGTCCCGTGATCCGTGAGAAGAGTAAGTTCGCGCAAACGCTTGCGTCCGATCGTCAGGCGAATCAGGGACGGCGGGTTAGCCAGGAGCCTGCTGCGCCGTGAGCGTGAGCGGCGTTATACATATACTACTATACATATCTTACGATGCACATGATGTACTCTGTACTTTGTAATACTGTATCTAGGGATGGTACTTGTTGGATATACCAGACTAGACTAGACGGTGGACTAGTTAGATCAGCATAGAGCCTCTCAATAATTTTGAACATGCATTTTTGAATATTCGTCCGTACCACAGTACTCTGTAGCATACCCACATACATACCAACAAAATACATAATTCCGCAAACTAAACGAGCACGAGCAAGGAGACAAAAAACACAGACCCCTATGTGGCAATACCCCCGTTCAAACTAGTCCATGCATCCACTTAGTTACGCACCATGTCAAAAACGAGCACACCCGTGCAACAAGCCCGGACGCAATACCAGCCAATCGTTTAACGCTCCACTCACTAATATTAAGCCTCATTAACGTAATCCACGGCCGAGCCGTCCACACGGCCGTCCCGTCCACTTCCTCCGCAATTTTCCAACAATCATACTTCAACGCGTCATTTTGTCACCACCATCATCTAAAATGCCTCTTTCTCAAGAAAATCGAATTCAAATGGCCATCAGCGCGTATAGAAGCAAAAAAATTCAATCAAAATCAAAGGCAGCAGCAGTTTTTGGGGGGCCAAAGTCTACTTTTATTAATCGGCTTGATGGAATCCAACCACGTTCAGAAACA